CCCGTCGTCTCATCATCCATAATCTCGTCCTCGCCTCCCCCTACTTCCTCCTCGCCGCCTTCCGCAGCTCCTTAAACTCCACCATCCTCCTCACCCTATCAAGGGCTCTGGCTTTCTTATGCCAAGCCAATATCCTCCTCGTCTGCTCCCCCTTTCCTTCTCCAACAGCCCCGTGGCTTCACTCCCTCCCTCTCGCGCCTTCAACGCGAGGAGCGCCTCGTTCGCCTGCTTGATGGTGACTTGTTCTGCATCCAGCTCCATTTCGGCTGTGCGAATCGCGAGGCAGAATCTATGACTGTGAAGATCGTTACGGAGGTCAGAGTCGTCACGACGAAAGTCGTCCCTTCGGGGGCGGGGGCGGGGGCGGGGGCGGGGCTGGTCCTTGGTGTGCGGTGGACTCCGCTTGCGAACGATCTTCCTGGGGACGGGGAAGTCGGAGGGTTTGCGGTGTGGGGCGGGTATGTGGTGGTGTTGTCGGGGCGGAGCGGGGGCGGTGTGTGAGAGATGTGGTGAAGAGATGGTAGACTGAGGAGGGAGATTGTGAGGAGAGGGAAGCGCGAGGCCGAAATGTGGTGGAGACATGGTTGATAGTGAGGGGAGATACCGGGCAGGGCTGACACCTCGCACCTGCCGGAGAAGTGAAGTATTGCTGTGAATGTGGTTGAAGTATTGCTGTGAATGGAGAAGTGAAGTATTGCTGTGAATGTGGTTGAAATAAGTTAACTGTGAAAAAGGCCGAAGAATGGGTTCCCAATGATGTCTACAATCAGAGGGGAAGAACAAGAAAGAGAGTGGGAGGAAGGACAAATATATAGGTGACCGCACGACTAGTTCCAATGGTCCTGGCTGTCAGAAGGAATCCACCCAAAGGGTATTCCTGTTAGCATTGAGCTTGACTTTTGGACATGTTTGGATTTGAAAGTTACACCTGATTGACTTTTCCGAGTGTACCTCGTGACAGCTATGAATTGACTTTCGGCGCAGGCACATAAATCTCTTTGCGGATACCTACCTTCCAAAACGCCACCCGAACATCTCGGGGCGGCGGTATGGCTTGAGGTAAGTCGAGAGTGTGGGTCAAGTCATCGCTCACCCTGATCGCATGACCCAGCCACTGCAGCCGAGACCGTTTCCATTCGATGGGAGAGAATGTGCGAGAATTCATAGACTCGAAGGTACGCATTGCGACACTATCGCAGGCGGATACTTTCTCGCATGAGGGTTGAGAGCCAGGTGGACGCGGATACGAAGTCATGAGATTGCGAGATACAGTTGATCAAAGCCACATGCTAATGGATGCATTTGAAGGTTCTGTTATGATTATTGAATTGATAATGGTAAGGAGGCTATTGAGATGGATGGGAATGGATGATAGCGGGTATGCGTGCCCTGGCGATGACTAGATCATCTCCTTACTACGACAACAACTAATGACTCCACAAAAGAGCGTTGCAAGCTACAGCGGCTTCGAGGCTTTTCCTCTAGTGTGCGTCCCACAGTGGGCCCAGACTGGACTTAAGGTCGGCATCAAACTCAACATTAAAGCCATTTGAATCACTCTCATGGCCTTTACACGAACATATGAGAATCAAGCCGAGGTATGTTGCATCAGCTCCTCTACCCTATGACATGAACGTGTAGCTATTAATATTCCAGTGGTAGGCATCTCACTGGCATCGAATGGTGAATTAAGCCGAAAAGACGTGACGTCCAGCGAGTACCTAGATGCTCTTATGAAGCCAGTTATGATTTTATTGCGCGCTTATCCTTGCAACTTCAAAGGAAGATCTGCAGGTCGTGCGGTGTAGATTTCTCAAGGACCCACTCACAAGAGCAGCACATACATCCTGGGCTGAGATTTGATCCTTTATCGATAGCATAGTTCGCTCGAAGCAAAACTCAGTATCTGCAGCATGCCCATGCCGTGGTGAAAAATATTACCTCCAGACTCCTGCAGGTTAGCCAAATGAATCAGCTTTGGCAATGGAACTATCACGGGTATTGCTACTCCAGTGCCCGTCAGCCTTTCCCAGCCACAGCGGATCTGACGGGATCCACTTGAATCCTTCCTTTCCAAGATACGCACGAAAGATATTCAGAAGACATCGCTTTGCCAGATCCCGGTCTTTCTCGGGTATTCTTGAGTATGGCCGTGGCGCACCCGGTAGTCAAGCCAGCTTTTGGTTATACGGTGTCTGTGGATCTTAGATCCCAGCCCACCACGCCCTGTCGTTCCCTGTGCTGTACTTTGTAGTCTTCTTGCGCTGTCATGAGCATTGCTGAAGATCATTTCCTGACGCTATCCCTCTTAAGCCTTCCGACGGCTTGTGTGTCGCAATTCTTGCTACTGTCTACCTCAAATCTTTGCATTCTCAACCAAATGCGTTCATTCCCTACCTTGTCGTCCTCTTGACCTAAAACGAACGTAATCAGTCCGCAGGCTGGAAGTATACCGGCACCATCCTCAGATCAATTCATTCAAATATTCCTACGCCCCAGCCGCTGTTTCAAGAACATACAAAATAAACACCTCCCATCCTCCAACACACCTTCGACTTTAAAAGTCCACAAACCCGTGTGAACAAACATACCCGGGATCCAACAATCAGCCAAAACGCCATTCTGTCCAGGCATCAAACATTCGCTAATACCGGTAGCGTTCCGGATAGAAAGGTGGGCGTGCTGTCCGGGCAACGCTGTCTTGAGAGGAACCTCATACGCCCGCGGTTCCTGCGCCTCTCCAGAATCCAAGGATGCCTCGCTCGTGATGCGTAGTTTCGCCCGCTGACTGCGTCGCCTTGGATGGTGCCACGCAGGTAGACGAAGAAGATCTGGTTACTGATAGCGGCCGTGTAAGTCGGGAGGGCGTAGTGCGGGGGACTTTCTGCACCCGACTTACACTGGGACTGGATCGGGCGCGACTTGGAGGAATTCTACCTTGAAAAGCTGTTCTATGTCAGGGCAGAACGTCGCACTGTTGTGCCCGGGAACCTTCGTTCGTTCGGATGTTGTGGACATTGACGTTTGGTCGAGCTACGAGAATTGGGGGATGGTGGGTCAAGTCCTGGCCGTAGCTAGGAGAGCCTAATAGATGCAAGATGAAAGGTAGTGGAGCTGTGAAAATCACATGATTCCAACGACGAAAAAATAGACACAACAGGACAGATAAGAAATTCGCATCATAGGGGAGGATTTAGCTCGGCAAAACGTTTCTCCGCTCCGCAACCGTCTAAACCAATGAGATTGGTTATTCATTCGCCAACCTTTCTCCCCTTATGCAAAGTCAACAGAAAAGATCCAAGAGTAAATCGCTCTAGGAGACTCCTATAACGGCACTAGCTGCAATGGACTCCAAGAGATCGTTGGCGGAGATGCCTGTCAGGGCCAGCGATCCTATTCAATGCAGATATCCATCGATAGAGAAGGGTGGGACCGCATCAATGGCATCGGTGATCCTCTTCGGTTCAATTTGCCGGCCTATACTAGTGACACCACTGTGAAACTTGTTACTCAACAGCTCGCTCAAGGTGACTGGAAACGAACCAATCCAGATCTACCACGGCACCCCTTTGGAAACCCTCAAGTCGCTGTCGTAACCATTTTTGGGGAAAGTAAGATACAAAGTTTGGCACGTGCGTTGCCGTAATGTTTTCGCATCCTGCTGTTGGGCTAATCTGGTGTCCAGTATCTTGAATGATTGCATCTATCGTGCGTGGCGTCCCGGAGACTGTGACAATACACCGGAAAATCTCCAGGAAGATCTCGACGAAGGCACTCTGCGGGAGAAGATCAACCTTGCGCTTTTCCATTTTGCCGATGAAGGCACAAAGGCGGGTAGAACCTCTCCCAGGTCAAATGCCCAGGTCTACGTAACAAGCTGTATGACCTTCTTCAATCAAGACGACCCAAGATGCAATAACATCTCACGGAACTATTGGTTGTGGTCGACACTAAAGCTAACAACGGACCTCCGCAGAAAGCTCAACGATCTGACCACCGAAGTCAGTAAAGCCGTCAAATCGGCCCGCGGAAGACCTCGAATCAATGAGCGTTATTTTTGTTGACGGCCTTGAGGACGTATACAGCGGCCACCGCTTCTACAAGCCTAACCACAATAACCAGCAAATTATCGACTTCGATACGTGCTTTTGGTCCTAATACTCGACTTCAAACACGCTCTCCGAAGGTCCAGGCGATCCCGAAAACCCTTATACCGCTGCTGAGGCGGACACAAGGCAGGCGCTGATGGATTTTCTCTTCCCTAATGGTACCGCCAAGGCCTCCGCTTTCTCCGAAGCTTCACCGCCACGGGACCAACCTGGCCTGCGTGAGACATATCCTGACTACGACTCCTTAATCAAGGCGGCATTGGACGACGGCAACGCCACCATCTATACCGCGCCCTTCGACTTGCTCTGTAGCTTTCACTCGAGGGGAACGGCTCACGGTTCACCACAGAGATCTTCTTGTGGGCGCAATCGTCGATAAGCGGGAAGATGTCGACGAGGCCGCCTCTCCCAAGTCCGACCTTCCTTTCTCTCCCCCTCCGCCGCCCCAGGCCACCGGTAGCTGCGACGTCTCCAATGAATTCGCATTCGACAACTTCGAGGTGCGCGGCATAGACTTCGACCCTGTCAAATCGGTCAGGACGGCTCCGGTCCGCACGACCAAATCAAGGGGTGCAGCGTGATTATCAAGTGGCACTTCGAGCAGACGCTCAAGGATCACCGATTCTCGTGGGTTGCGAGTGGAAGATTGCCAATTGGCGTGAAAAATCGTGTTGGCAAGGCGGTCAAGTCTGCTGGTGAAATGAGCAAAGGCAATTGCCATGGAGCTGGATAAATAATAATCTTTCGTTGAGAGCCTTGGGGAAGTCGTGAGGGAGCATTGCTACTGAACAGTCTGTAGCCGAGAAATAAAGCGGCGAGACCTACTCCTCGCGCGCCTCAAGGTCTCTTCTTACATACTATAGATAATTTCAATTGATAAGGATATTGAAATCAGTCAACACACCATTCCTGCGATCCTAAGATTCTCCCCCGTGCGACAAATCGACCCATGCTCATCGGCGCATAGAACGTCTGCAAATATACCCCTGGATTTCCCGAAATTCTTTCAAGGTCTTGAGAAAGCTCTGGGTTGTTCTCCAAGATTCTAATTCCGGCAGCCTGCGGCGACGATGAAGTATCATCTGCTCCATCGGTATCGTGATGATTGTTAGCGCTCCAACGGACTTCAGTCAAGTCTCTGTAAATCGCCTCTAGGACACGAGATTGGAGACTGTCAGCAGGACACGGTACTTGCGTGCAATGTATACTGTTGACGTAGATAACACCGTTCTCCTGCTTACGGATTGAGGCCAAGATAGCTCTCGAGCAGCCTGTGATTGTGCCCGTATAGCTTGCGTTTCCAATGACAGCATATTTGGGGTAATCTTCCGGAAGGGAGTCCTTGATGACCTTATTCATCCCCAGCAATATCTCATGGAAGGGCGCCTTTCCCTGCTTTTCGGCTTCCCGAGCCGCATGCTCGTCTTCCATGCTGAAAATGAACCAGTCGCCATTCTCTTCGCGGAAGAAAGTCGGGCGGGCTGAAAGACCCCGGGGCACAAAGGCACGCAGCCCACCGAGGGGCTCGATCGGCTGGAAGATCACACCAGGTAGAGTGACTCGCAAACCTTCTGGACTAAGCCCCCCACTTGGACTCACGATTGTGGATAATAGCAAGGCTGTGTCGCCCATCATTGTTGATGGGGCCCAGCGGAAGCCAGGATCCTGGATTCTTGGACAATGACTGAACATGACTATGCTTGGGATGCCAAATCTACTTTTAGATAAGAGATGCCAGAACTCCTTCATTCTTTCCCGTGGCTCCGTCTCAGCAACTCGGCGTAATGGTAGATCAAGCAATGTGCTCAAACATAGCGGCTCGTCTGAAGCCACAGACACAGACCTACCCTGTAGGGCCTTGGCTAACATCATTAACCTTTGCTCCGGCCGGAGAGTATCCTTGGTTTGCCTAATCTGTATACCGTTCATCCTGCTCTTGATGACTTTGTGCAGCATCCGAAGATTAATCCTGGAATCAATCGTGTTGTGTACGTATCTGAGCGCATCAAAGCTGAGGACTTGATCCTTGAACTGAAAATAGAGATTCCTTGCTAGAAATGCCTCTTGGAAAGTCCAGAGCCTTGTCATCCACGTCGAGCACGCTATCCGCGTACAAATTTCCATGTCGTCAAGAAAGCTACAATCAGTCATTTGCAACTCGGAGTCGAGTACTAGCACGGCGGTAGCGTCTCTGTAAGTTTCGCCCATCAAGGCCAATGCTTTCGTTTGAAAGTGAGCCTCCAATGGACAACATATAGTATCTATCCAACAATAGACAGGGCCGGTTCCGGTATTGAAAACGTCTTTGAAGGTTTTCAAACGCCTCCATATATCCTCGAGTTGACATGCTTTGAGATCGTTACGTCGTGGATTGCCCAGGCCATCAGCCCACACATGCGAAAGCGCAACATATTCGATTTCCGAGCTGCTGGCAACAACATCAACCTCCACTCCTCGATCGGTCATCTCTAATCGCAAGATAGGTACTTGGCCTCCTGCTAATACATCCTTCAACACCGCCCAAGCAGCAGGTTGCAGTCCCGTGTCGTCACAATGACATTCAGCGTCTCGATGCTGTGACTCGCAAGAATTTACCTTTGCGTAGCATTCTTCGATGTTGCAATGCGAATGGCGGTCAGTTCGGGATCTAGGCTTCGGTTTCTCTAACTTCTCGATGTAGAGTAGAGCTTGGAGATAGTTATACATCCTGGGTAGTTGATGGGCCTCGAACGGACACCATCCTAACGACTTCATTTTTTCGACTTTTCCATCCGTCCACACGAGGCCTTCGACGGCAGGTACGTAGGATTTGGCCTGAGACCAAGACTGTCCGGACGAGACTTCCTGTAGTGTGATACCTAGAAGCTCCAGCATGGAGCAGAGGCACTGCATGAGACGAGGTTCTAGCACCAGTGATGGAGAATTCAGTGTACTCCCTGCGATCAGCACTATACACAAGCGAAGATGTGTGAACAAAGACTCAGCTTGATCCAGTTTAGGGCGTACCAATGATGACCAGGTATCCAGGTGCTCAATAAGCTTGCTCGTAGTAAGTACGTCCTGAACGCAAGCGGCTTCATTCCCTCCGATTGTTTGACTCTGATTGAACTGAGACCTTTGACGACAGTAAATGAAGTGCTGGTAGCTGTACAAATCAATTCCGACAAAATTATGAAGACAGCGGCCCAGCATTTCTCGCAGCAACCCGAAAAACAGCCAAGATTGGATGAAATCCGGAGATGGTTGCTCTCTTGCCATTTCTGGTAGATCGATCCAAGTGTGTGCATCATCAGAGCGAAGAAATTTGTATCCTTTGGACATAGGATACTTGAGGAATGGAACGTCGCAATCGTCAGTCAGAGTGTTGCAGGGCACTACGTCTTCCTCACCATAGCATGCCCCTCGCAGTAGCAGCTGATGCTCCATAATGATTGTCTCTGAAGTCTCAAGGTCTGTCGCGTACGATTGTGCGAAGTCCTGAATAAGTCGCGGGACCAGTTTGCTTGTTCATATACCAGGCACTTTCACCTGTGCTGTACTCAGAAGCATTATCTCCGATCGAGGTTTTCAGCTATTTGCCGGAAGATTGCTGAGTCTCCTATACCATCTCCCTGAAATCCTGCTGTGAGCCATTTGCCCCAACCGTATTGCAAGCCCAGCTCCAATGCCATCCGACATCAAACGAAAGTGTTCCTTGGGTAGGTGACATCGCCCGAGAGATAACGATTGCTGGCGGAGTTTTCTGATGCGAGTAATATCATTGCCTGATGACGTCATATCTTGAAAGGTAGCACTAACCCGATTCATCCAAGATTCTGCCCTGTTGGTGTATGCCAAGAACGCTAGTCTTATCGATAAGATAGTGGGCTTATCTCAGGGCAGAAATCCTCTCTCGGCGTCATTCTCGTCGTCTCAGTCAGTCTTCAACACGCGTCGCAAACGTGATATAGGTATTCAATTGTCCTTTAGTTACGTACGTTGATCATAAGGTGTGTGAACCAACTCTTTACGGGCAAGTCGAGACTCACTTAATCGCTCGCAGCTTCCTCTCACCGGCAACGCCTTTCCCTCCTCACATCCTCCTCATTCACACCCCTCATATCTTGTGCTCCTTTGAACAATGCCTCTTCACTACCATCACTGCCACATCTCCAGCCTGCAGGACAGCCAAAGCTTCTTTCATTGGAAGCACAGCAGACATAACCAGCGGAGTTTGCTTGCAAGTTGACAGTTGTGAAGCGCAAGAAATTTACACCCTTCTTTACATCGCAAGCGTCGGAAAGCCATCTCTATCTTCCCTCTCATGTGCCCCGCCCTCGGGAACAGAATTGCGACAGAGCTTTACCCCCACCTTGTCTCACTTCAGCAGTGAAAGAGCCTCAGGCCGCCCGTCCAAACATCCATGGCGTCACAGAGTCCGGTACACACGTGCAGCAAGAGTAGCGCCCACACTCCCCTCCTGACTCGCATCATCTACCGATACCGTCTATCATATGAGGTATCTCCTTAGGGAGTCTGGGGGCTGAATTGCAAGTACTGTAAGAGATCGTAAGCCAAGGTAAGGCTTTGGCCCGAGAGTTCCTATCCAACCGCCACTGATGCTCATTAATTTGCAGAATTTGGAAAACCCAGCTACTTCCTCTCCCCCGTACCCGCCCACTCAGGTCTAACCGCTAACGCGTGAGAACCTCGCCTTATCAAGTGGCAGTATGGCCCCCAAGCCGGACACCAACCCTACAAGTGGGACTACGAAGTCGAGCAAGACAAAGATAATGAACACCAGTACCAGCCTCGACATTGGTATGCTCTTAGACATGAATAGTATGTCAATGAGCGACAGCAATGCGAGAGATACGGATGGGTACACTACAATTCGAGAGGATTCAATGGCAACACTTCGAAAAGATTAAAGTTTTTCCAACGCCGGCGGCAAATTGGACGGTTTTTGGAAAAGTCGTCATGAGAAGTACGCCGGTAGATGTGGACACATCTATCGCGATATGTCCGTCATGCCCTCTTTAGGTGTGGATCGCACTCAGACCGGGCAGCATGCTTCAGCAGTGGCTGACTGAGCAGCGGCACCATGTGTATGGCTGCTATTGGTGTCGTCGTGTAGAAGTACAAAATAAGTTACCATCCACAACGACCAGACTGGTTCAATAGGGATCACTTCGTCCTTTACAACGTGCATGCCGGTTTGTTCCAGTACTGCAACCTCTACCTGACGGGGTAAAAGGCTACGACCTGGGAGCAATATTGTACGTATCACTCAGAAGGCGCTGACAGCTTATGCCACGGCCATCCTGAGATCGAGATAGAAGGCATCGAATTGACAACGGGGCCCCTGGGTCGAGGTATTGCAAACGCTGTTGGTCTTGCTATGGTGGGAAGAATCTAGCGGCGACGTACAATAGACTCGGTTAGAACGTTGTGTCGAGTCAAGCTTTCTACGTTATCGGCGAGGCCTGCCTTCAGGAGTGGGTTGGCTGTGAGGCGTTCTTTTATGGTGGCCATCTCCAATCGAGCAATTTGACCGTCCTTCACGACAAAAATCGGGTGATCTGCGACGGAACGGTAGACATGATCAACACTGAAGATTTCAATGAGGGCTTGCAACTGGGGGGTGATTGAAGAAAAAGACGGCAGGTCTGACGTCGCAAACATTGTGGCTGCTGTGTCCATGACCAAATCCCCCGGACGAATCAAGCCTCTCTTCATCTCTCGGCCACCCAGACGGTTTGTATGAACATCACTCATCGTCCAGCACGCTATAATTCCATCCCGTGTCGCCTTCACAAAAAGATACTTTGCACCTCCTGCACAACTTCCGCCGAGAGCAAAAGCGACTGTATACGCCCCATCTATCCTGCGGCTGCCCCACTACCCACGCTCATCTTCTCAGCCTCCTCATCGCTGTCCTCAATTTCAATTACCTCCCTCCCCTCCTCCTCCCCCTCCTCCTCCCCCTCCTCGTCGATCGCGTCCACGTCGATGATCGTACGCGTGCTGTCTATATTCCCCCAGTCAGCTTTCTCTTCTGCCTCTCAAAATAAAACCTTCGAAACTTACACTCCCCAGCACGGAATCCCATGCGATAGGCATACTGCGCCGCATTGTTGCCGACGCGGGTCTCTATCGACCAGGTCATTGCACCTCGTTGCGGGATCGGATGATTCTTGTTTCGGATTCCCATGTTGCCGGTGAGGGCGATCAGTTCGGCCTCGTTGGGCGCTGCTGGGACTACTTCTTCGTCTTCCAACGGCTCCGGAGAGCTGCTGGAATTGCGGGATTCTGTGGAGGCGAAATTGGGGTCGTGTTGTGATAGGGCTGAGGTTGTGAGTGGCGTGGTTTCTGCGAGATCGAGAGTTGCTGGATGGCTTGAGAAAGCGGTGTTTGTGGTATCCATATTGTCGATGGTACCGGGGATGCCTGGTGCGTTGTTTGTCTCGTCTGCAGTGATGGTTGGTATGACTTCTGGAGAAAGGTGTTGAGGTAGCGGTGGTTGAAGGGAGGCACTAGAGAACGCGTTGGTGGCGGGCGTGGGCTCAGCAGGGAACGAAGAGATCTGTGGAGCAAGGTTGGTTGCAAACGACGATGTGGGTGCAGCGGTCGTCGTGGGTAATGGTGCGGTTGCCATGGTCACTTCTTGAGTGGTGCCTATTTGCAATGGTCAACACTCTTTCTTACTCAGTGTTCGCGAGACACTGCGCAGAACAAAGGAAGGGTCACATACCACTGTTGACAGCATTGCCGGCGTCCGATTGGGTCTCAGTCTTGTTGCTGGTTCCTTTGAAACGTCAATATTACGGTCTACGACGAGGAATATGAGCTTCCTACTTTCTCGCCTTCGTCGCAGTAGTCGTTTCTCACGTCTCCGGTCACGTTGCTGGTCTGTTAAAGTCATCTTGTTGTGTTTTGCAAGTAATGCAGTAAAGACGATGTCTAATATAAGTCTGCACAAGGTAACTACAACTGCTGCAGCGTGATTTGAAAGTGAAGTGCAAGTAGGGAGATGGTTGTACAACTTCAGAATTTTTGCGCCCGGGGGAAAGAAAAACCTGCCACGCAATTTCGCGCTTATCTAGAAGTGAATGTGTTGGCCTGGAACAGGTAAGGCCGTGTTTGCCTCCCCGCCACCGGCCTTGGCGGATGAGTCCCGCCTGTCGGCGAGGTCGACGCAAAATACAATCTGATCTTGTGAGGGCAGACAAAGGAGCAAAAATCTGGCTTAAATGCCACTCATCTCTTCAAAGCATGGCGGATTTCTAGGTATAAAGATCACGGGGGGAGAAAAGGGGCCCATTTCAAGCATCTCGAGGGTCGAACTGGCGCCTCACGGCACATGTGAGCAAGAAGAGAAAAACTCCAAAAAATGAAGCGTCTTATCAACCTTGACGCTGTATTTCCTCAGAGAGCGTCCTCTCAATGGTGGTACAGCTGCCTTGGCGGTCTCCTAACGCGTGAACATCCGGAGACCTCTCAACGTTGACTTGTTATGTATTGCCCTGTGTGTGAAACTTGGTGATACTCCCTTGGCACGTTGATGACCTTTTCCACTAGGCCATATGCACTTGCGGATTCACCCGCATATTATAAAATATAACCCTTTGAACGACATAGGGGAGATGCGCAACCACCACCCAAAGTGCGCCAACTGCATTACATTAATACAGGATACTGATCTATCTCTCGCATGGTCTGAATACTGTAGTTGTCGATGACTTTTCGGTATAATAATTTCTGATATGTGGTGGTGACGGCGCATTTGACGCTAGTCTCATTGTTCACATCCAAAAAACAATCGCTGCCAACCACAGATACAGCACATTTGATGGATTACTAACTATTCTGACATTCACAACGAGCTATTAAATCACATCGTCTTGATATCCATTCTCATCATGGTTTTGCGCTCTACTCCTCACATGCACAAGTCATCCCTGATACCCCTTGACATAGCACCCGTTCAAATTGTGCCGATGCTCATCAACAGACTATCAATCACCAACCCTCATCTCAGACACACTTTGTGATCTCAGCGATCATCATCACCCCAGATCTGTATGATATCAAGAAATGCTAATGTCAAGTTGCCTATTTAGTGCACAATACTCCGGCGCAAAAGGCAGACAACTCAGAAGAGCACGACACCTTCGCCTCCTGTGTCTTTCACATACCACACAAAACACCCCAATCTCCCCGACGCACCCCCTCCCGTCAAAAATAATCGATCGAAAATCCGTCTCTCGCACGTCTAACTCCCACCCACGAAGCTACCTCTTGCGTCCGTCAGCCTCATGAAGGGTTCGCACTCACGCAAACAGCATATCAAACATCTGCTTTGAAATACTAAGACTAGCCAACGCCTCGACGGGAGTTTCAGGGAGAGAAGGGCAGCCCCCACCCCCACCCCCCACCCCCGCCTTGCACTGCCTGCCGCCTTTCCCTCCCCCGATCGGGCATTGATCCAGCGGCATCTCTATCTCCGCCCTGCACCACACCCACCACCCTCCGCTGACACCAAAAACTCTTCGACCGTTGCAGCAGCGTGCGTCGCCGGCCCCTCCCCACCCTCCCTTCCACCATCCCCACCCTTCCCTCCCTCCCCCTCCTCCATAGCCACTTTCTTAGGGGAAGGCGGCGGCAGCATCACTTGAGACAGAGGGGAGGGACGATAACGACCCCGCGAGGGATAGGCGCAAGGGTCGTGTTTGCGCAGGTGCTGGCGCAGTTTGTGCTCGTGTTGGCGCGAGCGGATTACGGTTATGGCGACGGCGTGGGGGGTTGGAGGATCCTTTAGGGAGGAGGGGGAGGAGGGGGAGGGGGAGGGGGCGCGGCGTGGTGGCATTTTTGGTTCGATGGGAGAGGGAAGGGAGTGGATGGGATGGGCGGGTGGATGGTTAGGAGGGATGAAGAGGGTGCTGGGAGTAAGGTGTGGGGTATGGGATGAGAAAGGAGGGGGGGATGGTGGAGAAAGGGTAATAGGGTGGGGCTGATATAATGAGGGTATAACAAGGCTTTGTTTAACAGTGGTGGATATTGTTCGTTGCGAGCTGGACAATGTCTTTGTTTGTATTCGCGTACAGGTTCTGTGGGTGTAAAGGGACAGCCTTGGGATGCTTTCTGACAATGAAGCAAAGCGAACACCTGAAGATAGATAAAACCTCTTTATGGTCCACACGAAACATCCACCAGCTCACAGGCGTTCAAACCCCCTCCGTAGGCTTTCTACGCACCGTATTCCTGCACGAAAAGCCTCCTCTGCTAGAAGAATGAAATGTCACCAAGCTCGTTTCTGTTGTGAAAGCAGCAGGTAGGGGTGAGAGTGGAAGTAGAGGTAGGATCAAGAAGTGGTGTTGGGAATGCCAAAGGGCGAATAGAGCGAGCCTATGCCCAAGAAGATTGATGCCGGAGATGTAGGTATCTGCCTAGTCTGAACCCGAGTGTAGGGAGTGTGTGTTGACTGAGATCAAGTGCTAATCATAGTGCAATGCCAACGACGAAGAGTTTGCAGAAGTATTGATAGTCATGAATTAGGAAGTCTAGTCCAGCGACTCAGATCGCTCAAGTCTTAGACCTTTCGCAAGTCTTCTGTGTCTGATGGCAAGGCATGCTCGATCCGAAGTTTCGCCTCGTTCAATCAGCTGCTATTCGTTGCGTTGTCGCAATCTGCCCTTTCCTTGCTAAATCTCTCACAGCTAGACGGATGCTCGATGCTTAGCCTCTGCAGAGAGACATAGCGCATGATCCTAGCTTCGACTTTGATAGACCGTTTTCTTGTCACCTAGACCTCACCCTATTCCCGTGCCATCCTCAATCAATCCGCTCAAGAATCCTCATCCTTCAATTCGGGTTACCCTTCCCACAAATACTATAATCATCATGCAAGGTCCTCGGCGTAGATATCGAGTCCGTATTGGCACTGGGGTCCGCGTATTGAATATCTATCGCAGCCTGTCAGACTTCCCCTACCATCTTGAAAAATGGAAATTCTTACCAGGCAATTTTGTGCCATCAAGCAGCGCGTCCGGAAACGCAGGCATAAAATACCAATCATTAGACCTAAATTCGTCGTCTGTAATCCCGAGCGTGGATATCGCCGTGTACGTCTCCAAGAACATAGCGTGATGGAAGGCTCCGACAAAGACCTTGGGATGATCCCGGTCTCGAACGCCCATGTCGTGGATTTGGTCGATACTGCGACATGCGTCAGAGACTATGCCAGGGCGCAGCTGTCGCAGGGATGAAAAAGGGGGTGGGAGGAGGTGAAGGGAGGCCACTTACGTATCAATAGTACTATGCACATCCCCCCACAACGCCGTATGGTCTGTCGAATGATACGATCGCACGAGCGTAGAGCGATACCACGTGTCCGCATTGCCCGCATCTTTCTTCCACCACACAGACACCCATTCCCAGTCATAGCGATGCGTGGAGTCCTGGATGAGCGCCAGTCATTAGCCTCGGCCAGGTGGATACCCATCCTTCCCCATCCATCTTCATAACTATCAAGAAAAAGGAGAAAGGGGTAGGGGGAAGCTAACATGCGAGAAGTAAAGATAGTAAGTGACCCGCCAAGTCTGCGTGTTCTGGCAAAAATTCAAAGTGTAATACGTCGGCATCCAGTTGCCTGGACTGTCGTGGCCGTTCCACGGCCCCGGGCTGCCGCAGCCATCGTTGAGGGAGCCCAGGCGCCCGAGGTCGGAGATCGTGCCCGGGGGAAGCTTGTTGTCTACGAGGGCTGGGGATGGGTAGCATGATTCCTTGGTTTGATGTTAGGGGATGTGGTTGATGGAATGGGGAGATGGTGAGGGTTGGAGAGGAGGGGTGGAAAAGGGGGAAAGATGGGGCGGAGGAGCGCGGGGGGAGCGAAGGTGGGGAGGGGGCTCACAGATCCGCCTGGACGGCCAAAGTTCCAGACTGGTGCTGCGGCTTTGGCGGCTTCGAAAGGGTTGTCGAGGAAGGTATGCCCGGGGAGGCGGGTGTTGGCTGAGACGACGGATAGGAGAGTTAGGAGTGCGAAGTAGGTCCGCGTGGGGAAAGCCACGCTCTTCATGGTGAGCGGCTTTTGTGATCTTTTTCTTTGTAGGATGAATCACGACAGAGGAAGATGGATGAATTTATGCGGCAACGAACGAAAGCCTCGTGGAACTGGTGAAAATGAGATTGAGGCCTTGAGAGCCACATGGAGTCCGTACTTATATATCCAGAAGTAGATGCTGCACAGAAGTCTGGATCTGGACGGAATTCAGCCTCATCTCCAATTTTGCGAGCTGTGCTCGCAACATCAAGGTCTGTCATAGGCCGGGCTAAAAGTGACATTCTTGGCATCGCAGGATGAGGCTGGGTAAGGAACCAGAATGATGAAGATTTGTGAAGAGATGGGAATAATGACGGGTAGTAGAGATCATGTGGGCGGTGTTCCATCGAAGGAAGACGAAAGTTTTGTTTCACGGATTGTTGTTGTTGTTGGTGTTGCAGGCGGTGCCTGAATTAGTCCAATCCATCGTGCAATACCTTACCATACGAGGACTAGTTTCGTAACAATACAGTTTCTAGCGTCACATCGGCCCATTTTAGGGCGAGCCTTGCCAAGCCCTCTAGACTCCTTTGGGGGAGTCTCAGCCTCGTTTGAAATTGATCTTGTTTCGTTTCTTGGATGAATTCGCCATTCTTCTTCTTCATCTATCCAAACAATTTCAGCTCATCACTAATAATAGTCAGAGCATATCGCGACTTACTAAACCTTACCAAAACCCACGTTGGCCCTTCCCTTGATTAGTTTGGCTAGCACCTTCATAGGGAAATCAAACCAGGGATATCCTAGCTCAAAGATGAATAAATCTCGCGAGCTATCTCTGCAGGCGTGCATGTCCCTCAATCGCGATGCGAATGCAACGGGTCGAGCTTGTTGATCTAAAGCCATGCATTTTCAACTGTTGTCGATCTGGATCTCGGCGCAGCCATTATGCGGCTGGGCGAGGTCGTGATGTCATGAGAGATGTTGGACAAGCGATGTCCGGGGAATGGAGGAGTGCATTCTTTGCCTTTACCACTATAGGATCCCGGGCGATGGATCTTGCCTCCAGATTGTCATTGAAGCAAAATTAACAGGCACACAAAGGGCAAGTGTAGTGAATTCACGGAACAAAGACAGCGCAATTGGAAGGGACGTCGCCACGATGCTGTTGAGGATCCCCGTGCGCGATGAAAGAGTTGAAGAATCCTAAATGGGAACTGGCAATCAGTAAGAGTCTTTGGTCACGCGGATAGTTGTCAACAAATCTGCAAGAGTTTGTCTTGGAAGCAAGGCCGAGAAGCGCGAAGAGTGACAGGCAAAATCCCGGGGGTTGATGTGAGCGATAGTGAGGCTACGCCTGATGATATCTTAGGACTTGAAGCGGCTTGGAATGCAACTGTAGGTGCTCTTGAAGCCGTGGGAGTGATTGATGATGTAGAGATTGTGGGGGCTGGGGAAGCATTGGGAGTCATATGCGTTGTCATAGACTTCGATATGGTGAGAGATGGAGGAGTTGCTGGAGTTGTTGGGAACGGGATTGCTGGTGGGATGGGGGCTCTCGAGGAGATGTGTGCTCGACGACGACGAGCGTAGGGATAGAATTGGCGGCGTCTTCCGCGTCGAGGAATTGCGGGTGGCATGGTCGGAGGCACGTCTTTTGGGACAAACCGATGCTCGCCCTTGGGTGACGTGGATGTGGTTGCTAGCGAGGCAATAGCAGTAGTGAAAGTCGACAGTGGTCTTGCAGACAAAAGTTTGTGGACGAAGGCGAAGTATGGCAAGATTCTCGGTGGGTGTGTTCGCTGCAAGATGCTTACTGGACATATGAAACGAGGAGAGAAAAGGAGGTCCACGGCTCTAGAATGGTGAGTGATACCAGATAAAGTCATATTGACATCAAAAGCTTTTCTGATTGTTCCGGGAATATTATTAGGTCCAGGGACCAGTCAGCAATTTGGATGGGAGGGCGGCTGAGACGACGAACAAAGAGGATTTTGCGACTAGGTTCCAAGGAAATTCCTATCAAGGCGCCGGCCTTCTTCTTTGTTGTGTCAACCGAGAAGACGATATAATCCAAAAAAGGGAATGTAAATGCGAGCCATAGTTGACGCCATTTCCGTCAATGGTGATGCTAATTTCTTACCGACAGTAGGCTCGTCCACTTCGCTTAACCCAACCATCATTCTGCGGTCAGTGTCGAGGGATGCTTGTATACTCTCGGAATTCCTTTCTCTGCCGTGGACGGGGCTAGACTCTTCTCTCGCCATCCCTAGCATCTTCTCTTTCCACATCTATGGGTCTATTTATTTCTCCTCATTTCCTTTGTATCAAACGTCTGAGTCTTGCAAGCCACCATGAAGTGCATCATCGCCAGCTCATCTCTGCCTGCCGCCATTTCGCGCTCGCTAATCTCATTTGCCGAATTTGAAAGAATCTGAGCGTGACCTTTCAATGTCGACATCCAGACAATGTCTCTTGCGACCCATGCAGTGTTCCCAAAGCTTCCCAAACCCCCAGCACGTCGGATCTGTATGCCCTGGATCTGTCGGAACCAGAAACTATCAATTTGCATCTTCCTGAACAACTCGACGAGCCTTCGAACGAAGAGGCGATGGATGGCAGAAGCTGACAAAGGTATGGCGGGTTCATCGGACAAGCAAGCTCTCGATAGATCAGCCGCAGCCTTTTCAATTGGCATGGATGGTCCTATTGCTGGTGGTGCAGATGACTTTAAACCTGCTGCGTCAGCTAGGATCGAGAAATTACGGCTTCCAATCGATGTAGTAGTGACTATCATGAGGTAGCAGAGCCCACAGTCTCCGGTCGCAACATCGATCACTCATTCAATTTCCCAAGCTTTATCGACGATAGCGACCTCTAAGGCAGAAATTGACGCTATATAGCTTTAGTGACCAAAGTTGCGGCGCCGTTGCAGCTTCAGTGTTATTGCGAATCAGACACCACTAACAACATGACTCTAATGCATCACTGCGCTACTATCTCCTTACACTCGTCGTATGAGGCAGAAGAGGAGCAAGTCGTGACCACTGCCACCGCGCCGATCGCCCCCGACAATATCACATCGCAGCCGGACGCTACTTCCACGGACGATTCGGCAACAGAGAGCCTTGCCAATGCCCTTGTGAATGTCGATACTACATCGGAGCCTAAGGGTGATAGTAGTAGTATGATCCAGCCGCAGCTCTTGCTCTAGGTCTTGTACCGACCACTACATTACCGACGTATGGTCCGCCTGGATCCGATTCGGAGTTTCGAATCCAAGGATAGGCCCTTCTCAAGGTCATGGGTAGTGTTTGGACTGTGAAAGAGGGCCGAAGAAGCCGACGGTGAAGCGACCGCACTTCACCTACGCATGGTCATGCACGTCTTTGCCCATTTCGTAGTTCGCCTCGCGATTCCGTTTCCTTGTTTTAGGATGGTGTAACTCTCTTCTTCTTCCCACTCCTTGCTTGATTCCACCACACGTCTCGGATGTGTATAATGATAGCTCCTATACTGCAGCCTGCTATTTCTTCGTGGCTTAATCTTCGTCTTGCCCAGCCACCTCCCAGCACAGCAAAGGATTTCCGACGGAACGGGAAATAACAAGTATTGGCCTTGTGTCACTCATCAATCCTCTTGTCCTTCATCATAGCACTGATTTGATCACAAGGCCAGCAGACCGTGAAGTGTACATTCCAGGATCACGAGGAGAAGGTCTCAGAATCCACGCAGCTACCGTGCCCTCAAGGGCTATCATTATGTTGAGCTCCATAGCCTGCAACGCCGCAAGATAGGCTATGCTGTCGCTTTGCCTCTTGCCGGTTCCGCGAAGGTCGCCGAAACAGCAGCCACTTCCATTTCTCTTGTAAGGCAATCAGGTTGAGACATCTTTTCGAGGCTTGGTGGATCCGTGGGATGAAGATGAACAGGAGGCATAGATCTGTTCCCGCAACTACATCATCGCACAGCATTGTCGCGTCGTCACGCCATCCCTGGCTTTGGACGGGCCTCAAAGTTTGCTAGAGAGAATGCTGAGCTCAGGCCACGTGATATCGCGACAGACGTTGCCCGGGCAATGCGCGTAATTTTTATGTGGTAGAAATTCGAATTCCCAATTTCTGAAATCCAAGTTCGCTGCGTGCCAAGCCTTGAGAGCAGGATCACGATTCCGCAGCCATGATGAAAAATTCGCAATCTGAAAGCGTACGTAGAAACTAGGATTCGCCTGATCCAAATCACAAGCTCATCCAGCTCATCCTCACCAGCTTCGCTATCCTCCATCTCGTCAGCATTTTTGCCCTCTTCACCCTCTTCACCCTTCCATCCCCTTCACCATCTCCACCCTTATCGTCCTCCACATCACCCCAAGCATCGCAGCCGCCGCAGTCACTGCCTCCCTCATCCTCATTGCCTCCATCGCTTCCTTCAACTCCCCCACCCTTCCCCATCCCCCTCATCCTCCCATCCCTCCCCTCGAAGAGCGTCTCAGCAGCATCGAGAACCGAGCATGCGAGGAAGGGCAGGGTGAAAAGTTATAGCGAAATGAAGATAGAGAGGCAAGGACAAGAAGACCGGCAAAGAGTGGCAGACGATGAAGTGCAGACGAGGCAGACACCGAGCTGAGGGGTTGAAAAGGGCCATAAGAATAACCATATGAGAAATCGTACGCTCCGCGGCGTTGGGGGAAGGGGAGAAACCAGCACGACCCCCAAACCAGAAAATCACACAAGCTTTCCGTGCGATGGGTTTACCTCCTTGCAAATGGTCTCGACGATAACAAATCCGAGGAATAAGGAGAGATGTCGAAGGGCCGGCTTAGCCCACGCAAGGCCATCGCCTCCCTTCCCTTCCCTCCCCTCCCCTTCCCTTTCCGTCTGCGATGGGTGACTCCCCCATATCTCCACCGCTGCCTATACCATGCAAGAACTTCAAGCCTTGCACCTCCAGCTCTCCTCCCTGCCTAACGACGCTATGGCGACTGACTATTGACTCCCTAATGCGGCGAAGTGGGTCCGCTCGCTCAGCAGCAACGGCAAGGCGCTTGCTCTATCACCTGACCACTTGGAGGCACGGGCGATGACTGCCGGGGTACAATTAGCTTCCCTTCGGCACGCTGTCCCGTGGTGTTGCTCAGGGTGGTAAGTGTATGGGTGTGTGGACGTGCGTGTGTGTGGTTACGCGCTTTCTTCTGGCCGTCTGCCTTGGTGATGGGTGGGAGATGGGACATTCATGCAGTGGTGGATGTTGTTGGGATTAGATGATGGTGTACCAGCAAAGGGAAGGTGGGGGGGCCTGTTTGATGATGGCTTTGGGAAGGGAGTGTGGCTTTGGAAAGGGAGTCCAGCTGAGAGGTGTGTACAGGCAAAGGGTCAGGAAAAGTGTGAGTAGTGAGGACCAAAGAGGGAGATTGAGGCTGATGGCTTACCTCAGGCGTGAATGTCGTCGCTGGTCGGAGATTGTTGTCAACGAGCAATTGATTAGTAAGGAATTCCTTTGTTTTGTAAGAGGCTATTGCGTCTTTAGGGAGTCGCGTTGAAGATAAACGCTTCTCATTCCCTCACGAATTTCAGAGAATTCACAATTGTTATTACCCCTGGGCTCATGACCTGCTATCGTATTACACTGTCCAAATCAATAATTCCCCTATCTTCATACCATATTCGACGCAAGCCCTTCTACCCAAGTTAAAAACCTACTATGAAAGGACATGCAACCGCCACCTACGCTTTCGCTTGGTCTTCCACCCCCGTAACTTGCTATGAAGAAATTTATTGCATCGCTTATTCTAAGGTACTATCCCGTTTCACTTTTTCCCAACCCTTCATGCCCCACGCCCCCCCTTACCCCCCTTTTTTATCTTTCCGCACTTCTCAAAATCTACCTCATCTCCATACATACGATCACAAAGATTCTCCATCTTCGCCATTATTTTCCTAGATATCATCATAGCCACAAACTCTCACAGCCTCTTGCGAAACCTAGCTTCAGCCGATCGAATCCCTTCCACCACGTGCCATCTTGATCTGAGCATGCGCGTTCTGATTCCAGACAATCTTGTTTCATTTTACTAAGGCAGTCGAGTTCGATGAGCTTAGCAAGTCGAGTTCTCTTGAAACCACCACGGGCTTCTAGCGGCGGGGGCGAGGGCGAGGGCGAGGGCGGGCGGACAAGGCTGGTTACAGGTGGTAAGCCAACGCATTCCTGGGAGCTCTTTGATGTTCTGGGCTGGTTTGATTGTCTGCTCTTCTCTGGGCGCTTGGAAGATCGGCCGTCGTCGTCGATATCGTGTTCGTATTCGGTGGCGGGCTTGGGAGAATGCGACGGCTGAGGCTGTTTTCTGAGTTGTTCGATTCTCTGGCCTTTGCACCTTCTGCCGCCTGCCTTTCGAGATTGTGGATCCCTGGTATAATCATCCAGTTCGTCTGTTTTAGTCTTAAGTCTAACAAATTAGACGCCAAAGGGGCGGGGGAAAGGGCGGCTTCAACTATGCAGCATGCGAAGACACGATAACGTTGCTGAGATGTGTGTTGAGAGACGGAGAGCGAGAGGGGATATCTGCCCTTTCCGTTGCGAGATACCAGCTTCCTGAATGCAAGAGACGTTTGCTCCTCGCCAATGCCGCCGGACGCGGCGAAAAATTGGGAAGAGACCTCCATTTTGCGTCGTAAGATCGTCGTCCTGGCAGTTCAGGGGACATGCATAATTTATCTTGTCTTGATTGTGCGTCGCAGTGTACAAAATGCAAACGTGCGAGAGGCAAGAAGGATGTAAAACCTACTTGCGCACAGGAACGAGAGGTGAAAATTACAAGTAACCAAGGCACTAGCAAGGAGAGGGAAAGGGGGTCTTTGGTCGTGCAAAATTGATTTTATTGATGCAATTGCCGGCAATGCTCCTCATCTCAATGCATACCGTCATCGTTCTCGTGGTCTGCTTGTCCATCATACCACTCTGCTATCAAACTTATGCTTGGTACTTCAGCGAATATGGCAATTAGGCTGCAGAATTGACGTACCTATTCTCGCCTCCGTCTCCAAGCAGCCTGATTGCCTCAAACTCCGTGATTTAATACGGTGTGAGAAGGCACTCCGCCCTCTCAAATTGCCGCAAGGAATGTAAGTTCTCTCAGATCTGAGTAACTCGGTGCCGAAGTGATGTCAATCCAAGGCCAGTGATTCTAGCGCTATCTCCACCTCTACCACTACTTAGTCCTCGCCTTCTTGGCCGACGGCGGTCCTGGTGGTGGCCCAGGAGGAACAATCCCACTCTCCAAACTTGCCTCAGCAAGCGTGTCAAAGTCTCTCTTACGCTTCCCAACACCCCAATCCAGAATATTGTCCAGGTCATGATGCAGTATAGCGACGTGCTCTGCATTGTTGAAGGTGTACGTACGAAGATGATGCATATGGTACGTGTTATCCAGCGGTGGATGCACAAGAATCCAGTTGACGAAAAGTTTCACCTGGTCAGGGTCGATCGCTATGGTAAAGACAAATGATTCGGCGTCTGGCGTGGGCGTAGTCACTGGTTGGGGCTCTTGATTAGGCTGAGCAGTGAAAGCTCGACGGCAGCGGCGCGAGTGCTCGCACATAGTGGCGCCAGTAGTCATAGCTTGATTCTCTGCCTTATGGATAGAGCTGTTAATGCACTTACATTCGCCGGCGAAAAAAGTATGGTAGGCGTCCCCGCCCGCCCAATTGACAGTGTACGAAATCAATCACCTTCTTGAGTTTGAGGTTTGAATCGTACGCATTACTGTCAATTGAGTACGAAACATCAGGCTTTGGGCTCTTAATACGAGGGAACGCTGCTAGGATTGCCTTCCAGTATGCTACATCATCATCTGGGATCTTGAGAGTTGGCACGTCATTGCCGACAAATTCGTTATCCCACTTTGTTCGTAAAAAGCTTTTGGACCAAGATTGGTCGATATAAGTGCGCTCGCCTTCTACGTCATTTGATACCGAGCGCTTAATGCCCAGAAGGTTGTGAAAGACTTCGCAAAGAAATGTGGCTTCGTTCTGATCCTTGTTGTAGTGGATGATTTCCATTATTTCAGCGACTTTGGATCCCGACCAATCTGAACCTCGTTTGCCGTCTAGAGTTTCCATGGCTTTCGCTATAATGGCTGCACCTTGTTCTCGAGCAAGGGTTTTGTCGATGTAAATCTGATTGTGATCGAGAAGGTGACGCATGGCCATGACTGTCAGGTGATCTGGCATGTTGAAAGGCTCAGATCTGTGCGAGTTCGCGCCTGATAACTGCGAATTAGTGTCGGGGTCTGTGTCAGAGTTCGGTGTGGATGATGCTGTTGACAAAGAGCGCTTGCGACTGAGGGTGCTGAGATTCTGGGAGGTGAGTGGTGCGACTGGTCCGGAAGAGGGGACTTGCTCCTGCTCTGTGGCGCCTTCAAAGGTAAATAGCTGGTTCAGCTGACGGGTGGTCTGCATGATGTTAGGTATCGATGCCTAGAGCAGGGAGAATATCAACATTAGGGCCCTTACCTGGGTCGGCGAGTGAAGGGGGAGGCAGGTGTCGCGCGTTCGCTTGTATCAATTGCAGCGGAATCAGGCTGCGAAGTTGAATGCTGCTGAATCGTGGGTGAGGAAACGGGATCTTCTCGTGCGGGGGACTAAATCCGGTCAGTGAGAGAATGGGAAGCGGAAGGGGTGGGAGATATCACAGGCGCTGGTGAGGATTGAATTTCCGAATTGCTCTTCCCAAGTGATTGATGATCAGAAGCAGAATCGGCGTCCCCAGAGTCCATCACATCTAAGGTAGAAGTTGAATGATGCGAGTGAGGTCACTGCCTTGTACGACACTTCACATACAAACAGATGTCGCGCTAGAGAGCGGGCGCTAGCCAGAAGCGGGCAACGCTTCCCTCCCGTCGTCGTCGGCTTCACCCTCAGCGTGCATAGGTTGAACTAGACATCGCTGACCACAAGTGTACTGTTTATGACCAACCTTGAATGATGGACGGACTACAACGTCCGAGCGAAGTTCATACAATGGCGTGATTGAGACGCTGTGTAGCAAGTCCCAGTGGCGCGATATCAAGATCTAAGAGACACTCGTCTCGCCGATGACCATGTGCGGTCTATGCGTAGAGCTCGAATCGGCCTGAACGCGAACTTCGCCGTGGGTCACAAAACAAAAACGCAATACGAGGATGTTTTACGAGCTATCAGACAGCGTTCTACGACAAACTAAAAGGGATGCGACTCTCCTTTAACTTACAGGCTGACGAGTTCCAAACCTAGATCAAGCAGTAGAGAGACGCGCGCCGTGGTCAAATTGACACCTCGATGCACTAACATAAGAAGACAGGAGAGTACTAGGGTCGTACGAAGTTGACTTTTGACGTCGTCTACGTCGTGACGTACTACCGCATGTGGTACTTCGAGGACGGCTACTCGAGGCGCAAGATCGAGTTCCATGTCAAGGAGGACAATGTCCCGTATCGCTGTCCGCTTCTTCTCCTCTGACGTGCACTACAGCTTCAACCCCAACCCTCTTTTGCTTCTAGTCCGACTTCGATTCGACCTGTCGTTTGAGTGTGACGACGTACAGCGTGGATAACGAACGAGCAAGGAAGAGTGATAAGCGCTGCAATATACAGGCATGGACCGCAAAATGGCCAGCATATCCTTCAGAAAGTTGTCAACTACCGTGTCTCGCTATTTCAAAATTATGATGATAGCTTCAATGTGATTTTGCTTCCGTTCTCAGTCGCCGCATTTTCCGCCAACCTGATCGCCTTTCTCCTCCTCAACCATCTTAGTATCCAAAAGTCAGCCAAACTTATTAGGGTACTAAAACTTCTCTTACAATTGTGCAGAAGAACGCCAACAGATCCTCTTTTCCGTCCCCTCCAAACACTACAACCCATCAATCTCAGGCTCGCTCTTGTCTTGCCCCTGCACCTTTTGCTATCAAAGGCGCAATCCCGCACGAGCAGGTAGCATAGCTTCCTTCTGATTTCAGAATCAAATATACCCAGAAGGTTCATCTTATGCTGCCGTGGCCACTTTCTTCCTCGCCCTCGTTGTCCTTCGTCGTGTTTTCATTGCCTCTCGTATGCACACGTCTGCGATATCCTTTCCGTTTATCATAAACGTCATAAACCCAAGGTAAATCCTCACACTCTTGCTCAAATTTGTAAGTCATGCATGGGTCATGGTTCAGCATCAGCTATATCTACACGTTATATCCAAAACTTTGGAGCCTCAATCCTGGATGACTTCATCGCCTCCATCTTGAAGGGATTCCTTCAACGGAGTACAAGCCACGAAGTCCAACACCTGCCCTATCGTGACAGCCGATCCTTCCTATTTGGCTCGAGACCCTTGAATAATGCGACCACCACCCTTCACACACACAGCAAGAACTTCCGACTGCTGTGACCGATTCGGCGTCTCCCTTCACTCTCCTCGTCAACCTAAGGAGGCTCTCCTCCGTCGCAAGCGGCGATCCGAAAGGGTAGTCTCTCCGCGTATTAAGAATGATATGAGTGAACTCATTCAGTCTTGAATACAATAAGGAAGGGGAGGGCGAGATAAAAGTCGTAAAGCGGCTGTCGAGGCGTGCATTTTCTACAAGCGTAGAGCCAAGATCTTTCAGCTGTCGCGGGAGGAAGCACATCGTTCCTGGAAAGAGATAAAACGTGGGCTCGAAGGGGGTGACAGTGGTTATGATGAAGAAGATGGCGATGGAGTTGGCGGCGGAGATCGTGGTGGAGAAAGCCGTATTCGATAAGGTGATGTATGGACTGGAAGGTGCCTTAATAGTGAATGAGGAGGATATGTTAGTGGCTGGAAAGCATGATGTGCCGACAATGGAAGAAAAGTCCGCCGTGATGGTGGATAAGGAGGCCGTGGCAATGGTTATTGGAGAAGAAGCGACGGAGGAGAAAGCGGTGGGGGAGAAGGTGATTGGGGTGTTGAGAATCAGTTGGTTGTGATAATCATATACCAGGAAGCCGCGGTATTGCCAAGAGAAGAACGATGTGGTATGGATAGCGGGAAGAGGCAATTTGTAAGAAGGTAGATAAACAGACGATAGAAAGGTTGGGAGTTATGCATCCAGGAAAGAAGACTAGAGCGCAGCTATATTGCTCTAAATGTCAAATGAAATTGAGCGTTTAAGTTAAACGCTTATTTTGCCACTCCTTGAACCTGATTTGGCTTAAGCAAGCATATTAAATTAGACTTATAAAAGCCTCATGGGAAGCCAATAGATTCTCACGATATTTCGCATAGCGGTGATAACTAGCTGGCGTCCTCTTACAACACCACGCCTCAACCACCGAACCAAGAGCGTACGTGAAGTGGAAGGCTAGTGAATTAGTAGGAATTTCCAAACTCTTGCGAAAAACCACAAAAGGGAAAGCTTTGCCACAGCATTGCGACGGACGATCTTGGCTGTCTTGGGCCCAACTGCTCGACAAAGCGCCGCGCAGAGCCTTTTCCATGCGACGTTCAAAAAAGGCATGGATGAGCCTGCTGAGCAGCGTTGTTTGCGCCACTTCATCTTTGAGTGTGATGGGGATGCGGCGCACGAGTAGTTTTGCCAAATAGTAGATCTGTCTAAAGCCAGAAGATCATCGCGTTCGCTGAAGGCGATGGCTTGATATGCGGTACTGTTCGCGTTTAATAGAGATACGAAAGTCGTAAGCCTTGAAATATGTGTAGGTGGTGAATAGGGGAATGAGCATTGGTATCCGTCGTGATTGGGTTCACCGAGGGTGGGAGTGGGTGGGAGTGGCCGATTGTTCGGAGTTTGTGAAGAAAGGTGTGCATAGATGAGAACGAAGGAGACATTTTGGCTTGATCGGATGTTGTTGGCCATCGCATGGACGAGGTTGTGTGCTATCCAATTTCCGCGCCTCATACTTCGCGATCGAAAGTATTTCCCCTATTTTAGGCTTAGGTTTGAAGAGTCTTTGACAGCGACTGCATTCCTCAGGCTTCAAGCATGTGATTTACCTACAATCGGACACACGATCTTGACCTCATGCTCAACTTGAAACACTCATTTCTTCGGGATATTCTCATGTTCTATCACATGTACGCCGGAGGATGTACTTGAATTCAACTGTGTTTGATGGGCTTTCGTATGTGCACGGCCTGCACTTGATGCGATCAAGCTTGACAGCCGAAAGCTAGTAGAATGCGTAAGAAGACGTGATACTGAGCTTGATAAGAGGCTGGGATCGAATCAGGAGAGCGATATCTTACCTTCAGTGTCTTAGATGACATTCTCGAGTTTCTTCTCACGCGTACCAAGACGGTACAAATTTTTCTATGACTATGATCGGTCGATAGCGACATCCTCCACAAATGCAACGATTTAGGTGAGGGTACTCTAATTGCACTCTAGGCCTGTACTCGTACCTGAATTCTGTGCTGCAGATTTCTTAGCAACCTCTGCGGCCACGGTTTTGATATATTCATAATCTAGCAAGGTCCCCAAGATTGGAGTTGAGGTAAGGACGACATCCCGACCGTTTTTTGGCAATTACCCATCGATCGCTGCACTTAAGGGAAAAGAAATGCTCAAGTGCGACGCGTGCGCTCGCAATGGCGGATTCAACAGCGTTTTTAGGGGCGACAACGAGCAACTTCCTCAGAGTTTGAAATATGGCCATGTAAATGAACACCTTTGAACTTATTGAACATCCCGTTGTCTCTGCCACATGGATGTCAGGTCGGCTTGTACGTTGCCTAGGAGGGCAAAGAGGCGTATGGCTCCTAAAATAATACCGCTTGTCGGTACGAAGAGCATTCTTGCTCTCACTATCGTCGTTACAAGCCCGACAGTGGGGCCATTTTAAACAAATGAAGGACTTTTGATGGCGAAAAGCGCTTTCACCATCCGACCTCAAGCAAAAATCCACGACCAACTTGCTGCAGTAGAACGCCTACTCAACTTGCGGCGTCATAAGAACACAATATCCCTTCGGGCTACGGCCAGTACCAACACCTGACCTCATATTGACGAGAGGAAGAGCTAAAGGAAGGAACAGAAAGGTTTCTTGAACATATCGCATCTACTCCTAGCCAGAGTCTCATTCCATGCCAAACAGAAGGTACGAAACGATATTACATGCAAGCCGTTCTCCCAGCTTCTCTCTGCTATAATTACACTACACAGCGACTAGATCATGTTAGATAGAGGATTCTGTACCTGACAATTCCCATCATCTCTCATACTTACCGATGAGATAACACAAGATCATTATGGCGACTATTCGCACCTCCGTGGGCGCGCTGTAGATAGTGAAACATCTTGATATCAACTGAAATCCGCCTACTGTTGCGTATCCAAGGATCCTAAAACAATTCAGCAGCAATCCGATTAGTACTTACACTACATGGCGCGTCTAAGGATGAAGCGTTTTAACCACAATTGAAATCTAGTAAACTCCAAGACCTACGGCGAGGGATAGGTCGTTGTCGGGTACAAGTAGATGATCACTACCTTGCTATTCTGTTCAGCAAGCTTGGGATTTGTCATTCTCTTAGAAGCTTACAAGATATGCCTCATAGTAAAAGAGAGAGGAGCGCTTCGTTTGCGTTGGACGGCTCTGAATGGATTTCCTGCTACCAATGATCACCTGGTCGTCACTTGGCCGGAGGTACCTTGCGTAAGTGTGCTGCGCATTGGGCGGGGAGACTTGTCAAAATATTCCAATTTCAGCGGCTATCCCAAGTAAGGAGTACCGTTCAATTTGTTAACAACTTGAACGAGGCATTAAAAGCCGAGGAGCAGGTTGAGCCCACTGCCTATGTCCAATGTCGCTGGATCATACTTAATTGGTAGCAAAAGGTGATGTCCTCGTACTAGTGCGGTAAGTGCACACGTTTAAGATAAACGCAATAAAATCATAAAGACGTTTAGTCAAATCTCGAATACTCCCCAAAGAGACAGACTCCTACTTCCTAGTCCGCCCATCCCTTGCCGTTGCTTCCTCGAGGCTGTCAATGTTTCAAAGCATCTTGCGGTCGTGATTCGAACCACACCCATTATTTGAAGTGCGAGCAGCAACGCTCGTGGCCTTAGTCCGATAATGCTCGTTGTAATTTTTAATGCATGGACGAGCAGCACGTCCAGCATCCCCTCGTCTTGCCATATCGCACTTGAAAAAGGTAGATCCTCACACACAATTCTTGAAGGCCCGAGCGTCTTGCTAGTATAAGAGGTAGCGTCTCGAAAGCATTGAAGGCCTCCAAAAGCGGCTTGTGATCTGTGAAATTGATCTTGAGAGCTGAATGTAGAGGATATTGGAAGAGGGATGAGGAAGGGTCTTCCAGGCAGCAGCAGGCCAGCGAAAGAGTTGGTGGGCTGCCATAGAAGGCTTGCTGGCAGATGAAGAAGGTAAAGGCCGAAAGGAGGTAAACGATGAGGCAGGCTTCTAAGTCGTAGCCTTAGTGGTCTTTCCCAACCTTGCCGTCATCCCCCAGCAGACCTTCACGTAAATCGCGTCTCGATGCCAGAGAAAGCCAGGCGTCTATGACAGCCAACAATGGCTCTGCAGCACTCAACACTCGGAATTTGGCGAATTGCAATGCCTCCTGCTCGATGTCCAATTCTTCCGGATTCTTCGCCATGTAGCCACTTCTCTGCTCGTCGCTCTTTCGATCACGCTTTTTATGCTTTCTATCCTCGCTCATAGTCTCTTTGACTGTCGTTAATCTAAGGTTGATAAAGTTCTCGATGCTCACCAACTTGGATTGTATGCGCGTTGAGATACCAGCGTTAGCGTCGGCTTGGGCCAGAATCGATTCGCATTGATGTACGAAAGCGACGTTGGCAGGCTTTTGCGCAAGATCGTGGGAAATCGAGTGGGCTGGCACTACAACATTGGCGAGGAAGGAATCCGTGCTGCTTATCTTGGCAGTCCCAATTTCTACGAGTCCAGCAAGCTGATGAAAGTGAATCCGTAGCGCATCGGCATCGACCTCCCCATTCAAAAGAGAAGGCACATCTGTTGGAAGCACTTGGATCTCGCTCAAATCGCCACCTTTCTGCAATGTCTCCGCCGACGCGCCGACCACTTCAGCCTCCACTATCGGTGCTGGGCTCTTCTTTGAATCAAGCACTATCGCAAGCGGCACGATCATTGCCATGACCACCACGCAAATCGCGGCAAGGGAAGGAAGCCATCCCGAAAGACTCCTCGCTTTTATGACATTGGGCGGGTTGGGAGGCTGAACAATGGGCATATGGTTGTCCGGTAGTTTAGTGCTTGGGTTCGGGAGGGCTGGAGGTTGACCCGACAGCCCTGAAGCAGCGGTGTTAGCGTCTTCACCGCCTCCGTCCGCGTCGTTGAAGAGCAAAATTTTCTTGGTTGGGCCTTGCTCAGTGTTTGCAAGTGCGGATATGGCTCGCCTTTGCTGCAGCCTGCCTTGTGTTGCATCTCAAGTATACCGACACAAAGAAATGGAGATTCTTCACATGGCCGACTTACTATCGAAGTTCCAGTTCTTGTCATCCCCATGGGGACCGTCAAACACCGGTGTCTGGCGCCATTCTGTCTCCAGCTGTTGATTATGACGTTTACGTCCTGTCAGGCTGGTAAGCGATCACTCTGCTCACTTGAATCGTCTTCCAATCTTGAACGAGAGGAGCCAAAAGTATAGGCTCAGCCTCCTATCGTGCTTCTGACAATTGGCCTCTGCTTGCTCCTACGTCGATCATCACCATCACCACCAACTTTACCACCATGGCATCCCCCTCATTCTTTCCCATCTGGTCCGTGAGGCCAACAATCTTCGGCGAGCAAGCTCCTCCGGTCAGCGTTGCCAGCACCCCCGTGAGCAGATCCAAGGACTACGTAAGAGCATGCAGAGACAACGCTTGGATCAAACACCAGGCCGTCGTCAAGTACCAGAGTCGAGTGCAAAGGCAATTGAAACAAACTGCCAGCTTTCGACTTACCCGTCATACAAGCACTGGGAGATTTTTTCAATCATGGCTGTATCCGATCCAAAGCATACGCTTTCATTTCAAGAATCAGGACGGATATAGAGTGCTGGCTGTCACTCTCGAGCACATTTCGGGCCCTACAGCGTTTGGTGAAGTAATAGCCTGAAGCCAATTATCGCCGATTCTGCAAGGTAGCTTTGATGAGCATTTTAAGCAATCCCATGGTAAGGGTTATTGTATGCAAGTAGCCGAGCCTAGCTCGGCTACTAAGCATTGCAACGTGGGTTGGGTATCAATTTGCAGTTTTCCTAGGAACTTTTGGGTTGTGAGGAAAGATCATCCACGGTGCAAGCCAGGGTGCCGGTGCCACAGAGGGCAAGGTCATCCGGGCTTAAAGGGGCAGAATTTCGGGACGCGCTTCCTGCTGGCGATTGGTCTCCTGGCAGCTGCGGTGGTTCGATGGGGCATTTTGCAGGCCTTTCGCGCCATGTTCCATGTTCGATTTATGGTTGATCCAACATGGGCAGATATGAGGATGATGTTAGTCTCTGCTTGGAGGAGAGAATGCGGAATTCAATGCACCAGGACGAACTAGCTTACTTGAAACACCACGTACATAATAATCATGTTATAAAAACAGGAGATCACCTGTCTCTATCTATGGGCCAAGCTTGCTGGCGCTATATTGCGTTTCTCTTGCTCTGACGATCTCCACCTGAGATGTACCAACTACCCATATCTACCATTATAACCGCCAACGAAGCGCCTTAGCAGCACTCGATCTGAGTCGCGAGCCTTGCAATCCATCCGTAGGTGTCACGTCGAACTCAAAATCCTCTGTCATTCTGGCCGAGCAGATTGGATCTTGTGCTCTGCATTCGGGACTCGGTACTGTCGTAGCATATGCATAGGTCTTCTTGTAGCCTTGTTCGCTTATAGAGCGCTTTTGTTTCCCCCTCCTCCCAGTATACCACAACCTCCACTTGGCCCCCGAATACCCTCAACATCGGCTGTAGATCTCTTTTGATATTCCCGCCTTCGCTATCTTGCCCTCCCACCCCTTTCACCCAAACACTCCACTGCAACCACCCCGAGCCGCCAGACCTTGCCTTTGGCCCCCTCTCCCCATCATTTTCCCATTGTATAGTCGGTCTCATGAAGAGCCCAACCTCATCTTTGTCATCGCTGGCTCTCATAGGCAGTGATTGGAAGACCGTCGCGCCGGCTTATGGGGCCCAAATCACCAGTGCATTGATGTACAACCACACCATTCTCCATGCCATGAGCTCATGTATCCTTCATCTTTCAGATGGCGTGACGGAGTGATCGACCAGCTGGAGGCCACTGTACATCCGTAGCGCTCTTCATTGCCGGCGATAATGGTAGGGGTGGCTGAGATTGACAATTGGTACACGTGAGAATGGGTCGATTAGGCTTCGGTGGCAGGCTTTCCCACCCTCCAACAAGGCGTACCTATGATAGAGTATATGCGACATCCCCACGAGAAATCTTGGTTCCGTCTGCCCCGCATTCATGCTTCTTCCACACTTCTAAAGGGGGGCGCCTAGTCGCTTCTTTCTTGCCCTCTCAATGATCTGCACAGATTCACCCGCGCGGCTTGTCAGCTGCAGGCATAGTGTGACCTCTTCCACGATTGCGCTCCCATGTTCACCAGCTCTTTCAGGTGGAGGTCTGTGGAGGTCTCGCCAATGGCACCCTTGGCGTGGAGTTGTCCCAATTCGTCGGAAGTGAACGGACTTCCGCGATGGGGAGGGGTGAAGAGGAATTCGCGCTGGACATGATAAGCGGTAGTAACTCACCAAGGGGCTTCGCGAAGGCATCAACGAAATCTACGGCGGTCCAGAATGACCAGCTGCAAAAACCCCCTCAAGATGCTGAGATTCAGTCGTCAAAGACTTCTCCTTCTAAAGCTTTCTCAACACCTGCACTATGCTTTCCGCACTCTTTTCATTCACTCCTGCAGCCATGCTCTAGCTGTCTCGCAGACCTCCCGCGCGACTGATGCTCTACAGCAGCCAGATATTTTCCACCTTCCCTACCCGTACACCCATTGGATGCGGCTAGCTGCTGTGTTGTTGCTGGAATTGGACAACGCGTGTTCAGAACCCAATGGAACAGACTTTAGCATCATCAATTTTCTACTCAGCGACCTTGCTTTCCCGCACTTCTTTTCACGCTTGAGCTTCAGCGATCGTAAAGCAATGGCGGGCTCTCGTCCACCACTCGAGCAGATACTGCAAGCATTCAGGTAGCTCCGTTTGCCCAAGGTAAAGGCTTCCTCTTGTCTACAACGCCTGCTTTTGAGCTGACGCCTTTTAGAGCCTCGCGACCTTGGCTTCTTCCTTTAACGATGTCCTTGACCAACATACCTCGGCAGCTATCAAAGTCCTCCTAAACCACTTCCGCTCCTCTCAGGAGGCTCAAGAGGGGAGCTCGGCCAGCAGGCAATAGCTTATTCGGACTTTGCTGATTCTCGTTCATCCCGAGGTAGAGTCTCTCCTCCTGATGCCTGATCAAGAGCTAATTCTCGTAGAATCTGAAAAGCCTACAGAATTTTTCTGGCCATCTTCTTGACCCTACTGAACCCGCGATCTTCACTGAATTAGCCCTTGCAACCTTATCCGATACGTCAACTACAGTGGCTGATCCTACCAAGACCCACAGGGCCTCTGCTCACAATGACGGAAAATCTACAGCTCTCGCCCTTGCTGGAACCCCGAATACCCATGGTGCCCCAAATATTCAAGCAGATCAAGGCAAGAGCGGGAAAAGAAAGCGAGCCACTCCTGTCACAGCAACCCCCGCCGATCCAGTCGAGCTCGCACTGCGACTCCATCATATGCCATGAAAGCAGTAAACCTGGCGAAGTCAACGATATGGTCGTCTAAACGCAAATTGACCAAGTTGACAATGCACTCTGCACTCGATCTTCATCTGGCGAACAACACTTTGCACGATCCTGCGTTTTTCTTGAACGACCTTGATCGCCCCAAAATTACGTCGGAAAAGCCGCAACAATGTAATCTACATTGGAAGGCGGGGCAGTACTGTTTTGGTACAAAAAGAAAGTGGACCTTTCGGACATGATGACCCACGCTAGGCATCTGTTCGCAATGCTGTTCTACGGTGACTACATGGAGCAAGAGCTTGGTGAATTCGGTCGGTTGCCCTGTAGCAAAGCTGAAAGAACGATCGAAATGCTCTCCCGACGAGTGCGTGGGATCAGCCCAGAAGAGAAGACCGAGCTTAAAGATAGAATGTGTCGCGAGGTTCCCACCTGGGCCAGACACGGCAAGAGGTTTGCTCATTCAGCAGAGTAATACAACACTAGCTCAATGCTGTGGCTTTGTCCGATGTTGACCAACGGCTGGTACGTCCAAAATTTTTAGGGGCCCTTATCTGCCAGCGTTGACATATCTAGTCTTTCCCAGATGATGCTCAAAGGTTCATCATATGACGCCGCTATTTAGAACCTCGATGCATTGGAACTGAGAAAGGCGGCAACGTCTGACGGAGCGAATCTTCTGAGTGAAAATGTGAGGCAATACTTTGCAGAGACCTTCGGGTTGGAAGGCAGTACATAAGTCTTGATGACTGGACAGACTGAGCTTGAGCAAGAGCTGGCATACATTCTAGCACTCAGCTGACAGGCCGATTGTCCAGTCCTTACGTCTTTCGGTCCGCTCAACATGTTTTGTAGCACCTGATGAAAGAAAGAATACAACATGCAAGCTGTGATTCAGCGCAACCGGGATGCCGCATTTCTCTCATATGCTTGCAATCTCCTCACGGCCGATATGACTTTCCATGAGATATTCATTAAGATCTTCTACTAATGCGCAACAGGGCAGCACTCTTTTCCACTGTCTCCAATGCTACTTTTCTTCTGCCTTCTTTCATTAAGCAAAAGACACTTCATCGGAAGGGGACACCCATGCTGTCTTCTTTGCGCTTCAATTAGTCCATCCACGTCCGTGTCGACGTCTCTTGTTGGTGTCTTTGAACCATCAATAGGTGGATACGCCCAAGAAGACGACTGTCATGGGATGGTTCTTGGTCGCTAACTATTATGACGATCATCCTGTCCATGCTCCATCAAGAATTGACTCCACTGGCAACGCTTTTCATGCATTCACCACGCATCATCTCTTGCAAGCAATGATGTAGAAAGTCTCGCGTTCACTAGGAAAAGTCATTCCAAATGGGTTTTTATCGTTGAATGTCAATGGTACGCAGCTGATGAATTCCGGCTCCTCGGCGTCATCTTGGCGATGGACGCTGTATTACTTGCCTGTACAAACATGCGCATTATGCATGCCCTCCTTTCATGCACTCGAACACCGTCAGACCTCCAGGTGTTCGCTTTTATGAAATGATCCCCATATTCAAGATGGCGCGGAAGCTTGCTCTAGACGGGAATACTGATGATGTTCTAGAAGTTGACCGCTGAAATGTCCGAAGATCTGAGCAGTCAGGCCTGCACTCCACTATCAATAACGAGCATAGACTGTACGCATAAAAGCCCTGCCTGTATTGGATGCCACCATCAGATGCCTTGATTTGCAGCATCAGCAGGATTCAAATTCGTCCTTCACAAAACACACCTCACATTGTCGAGCGTTATTGCCAAACAGACATATCAATGCGAACTTAGAAAAGTGTTTAATTACCACCTTTGACACGCTTTGAGCTGAGGACTTGCCACTTTGAGGCACTATCTTCAACACACAAAACGATTTTTGCATCATAAGAAGTTCGATATCAAAATGGCTTTTGGTCTTTGGAAAGCACCCCAGTTGTTGATTAAAGCGATCCTCCTCTTTCTCTGGATTGAAATAATGGTGGCCTTCTGAGCTTTTGTCATAGCTAGAACTATGATCAATGTCTGCTGGTTCTATGGCATTATGGAAGGTGCTTCCCTGGAAAATTTTCGGGCTAGAGAGGCGCCTTTGGAGGCATTTCTTGTGACGATAATGACTTGCGTCTGTGGTCTTTCACTTTCGTACTACTTGGTCTACTCGAACATTCAACATTTGTTTGACGATTGATCCTGTATAGAGAGTCGATCTCACGACGACATAAAAAGCTTGGTTTCTGGACAGGACCCTCAATTAGACGAAGTCGAGCAGGGCGCACAGGACCCAGAAACGAAACCCGATCATCGTTACTTCTCTCGGAGTGCGCAAATGGATTCGAACGATGACTGTCGTAGGAGCACAACAGAGAGGGAACCGCCACCGAAGAATCGGTCAATGAATCGTGCTGAGCGGTCCTCTATCGCAACAAGCATGCCATTAAGCCACTCAACTGCTCCGAAGATGTTTTACCAAGCCCCTCGCATGAGCAATGAAATTGAACCATTTGCCCAAAGTCGATTCGATGAAAACAGTGATATTCAAGGAGAAGATGCCGTGAAAGCTGGTTCCGCCACTTTAGTCGGATCTCCAGAACCGACCAAACCAACGCAAGATAGCGACGACTAGATACCTGTCAAGACATCACCCGTCCCTACATCCTGAAAGCCAACACCAACATTATTATCGACGCAAAGGCACTCTTCCTTCGAACCCCAGTCCGAACCACCCAACCCCCCAACTCAACTTCTCCAGCACACAGAGCTCCCCACAAGGTCTCTTACGAATCCCTCGCTCTCAGCACCAGCACCACCCGCACCAACCCTCAACGCGCTTCGTGCCTCGTTCTCCGACCGGTCAATCGATCACCGACCTCCCCGCCACACACCCACACCGTTGCAGCGACAGAAGCGGGAATTCTCGAAGAGGTCGCCCTCACGGCAATTGGCTCGATCCACGCGACCGAAGTCTGGTATGCTGTCGATCGCTTGTGGGGTTTTGTCCGGCTTAATTCGCACACGCCTGTAACGTGGCCTTTTCTCTAGGAAGGTCAGTTTGCTAGACGGGGTATTTGATGAGGAGGGGAGGTGGGGGGGGAAGAGTCATGGGGAGGTGCTGGAATGGAGGAAAAGGAGGGAGATTGAGGGAAGGGGGGGGGCATTTGGTGGAGATTTGGCGATGGTGATGATGAAGTCGATGAGGAAAAACGAGTGAAGGGTGGTAGGGAGAGAGGGGAGTAGGAGAGGAGGAGGATTTACATGAGTATTATTGCTAATGTGGCAGGGCACAAGGATACAAGATGTTAGAAGTCTTGACTCCAGGTTGCACAATATTCAGAGAATTGACAGCTCCTACCGAAATTCGTATATCTATCTATGGCTTGTGGAAGGATTGTCGCCGCGGTGATGGATCGGGGGCAAGAAGGGCCATCCTTCACATCAATCTCATCTAGCAGCACCAATAGTGGCATAACGACCACAAAGACTCTGCAAGGTCTTATCTGAACCAGTGTAAGGATCTGCCTACAGTGCTCCCATCACTAAGTCCACTCACAAAATCTTAGGAGACTCACTTACTAGTTCTACTGCGTCAAGATCACACGCTACTAGACGATAATCATCGAACCAATCTATGAAAACTAGCAAAGCAGTTTTTCCAGGCCAGTAGCATCGAGGCTCTCATAGGCGCCATTCTACCCTTCCCCCCTTTGTACGAACGACGACCACAGCGCCAGCAATGGGACAGATACCAGCCCCCGCCCCCCGGCCGCCTAAACGCCGCTGCTGCCTCGCCCGACAACCGATAGTGAGGATGCTGATCCCCCCTTAGAGCTCATCGAACACACCTCTTACCAGAGTTTCCTTTACGCGAGCGCCATCGTCCGAGGAAGTGGAAGAGGCGAAGCAGTTCATGAAGGACTCCCCCCCCTCCCCCTTCAAGGAGAATCCGAAAAGCTTACTGGGCGTGGGTGGAGATGGGGATGGGGAGGGACGGGATTATTGAGTACTTTGAAGGGGAAGGGGAAGGGTCGGGGGGTCGGTAAGATGCGACTTTCAGACAACAACTAAGCCTTGAGCGAAGAAAAGACAGGGTTTCCCTCCGAAGAAGAAGAGATTGGGTAGTCAGCTTTGTTAGGTTCCTGGGCTGTTTTAGTGAGATGTGGTGCTGGGAGAGATACGGAGGAGTTGATATATATACCTATCAGTCTAGGCCATGGTACCCACATCTCTACTCCACTATATCAAATTGCTCAATTTGGGGGAACGAGGGGGAAAGGAGTGCCTTTTTCAATGTGGTAAAAGGGGCTGGCTGGTAGGGTCACGAGGATCTGTGTGGCTGGCAGACTGCAAGGTTGTAGGTGATGCGATCGTTAGGGATTTCTTGAGTCTGATGTGTTCTCGCTGGGAGTTCGTGGATAATACAATGTTTGTGGTAGCGGGTCTTGGTCATTCCTTGTGAACACTTTGTTGTAGTGGAGGAATGGCACTAGCCTGGGCATTGCTGAGAGTTCTAACAGCCAGGTTTGTCCAGTACAAGTCTGCCTTTTATATTGTTTGGAGAATTTAATCGAAGTGTCATTTTTAAAGAAACCTTAGACTGGGGCAGCTGCTCTGCAGCTTTTTTATTACTTTCATGACTCCGTCTACCTCATATGGCATGAAGCATAAACATTCAAAAAGCCACTGCGGAACAATATAGGAGGGACTTCGATCCGTCAGATTCATCCTTTGTTCTCGCCTCCACTTTCACGAGGTTTATCCAATCTTCAGGGCGCTTTCGAGGTTTTTGGTCCTGTTGCAATTGCGCCATTTGGCAGGCGATGGAGCCCGCGACTATCGGAGCAGCTAGATAGATCCTTCGTCAGTGATATTTGAGGGATGAATAAACCTTAGGAGGGGGCACACCAAATGAAGAGCCTTGGATTGAAGTAACTCCTTTGGTATTCGGCTTACAGGTATCCACCACTTTCTTAACGCCGTTCATGACTTTGAAGTATGGCACGTAGCAACCGGGAGCATAGATATCAAGACCTTCGCGAAGACCGTCAGCATTTAGCAAAAGTAATGTTCAGTGAAAACCTCACCTGTCCCATGATAAAATCTAGTGCAATCGTCTTTGTGGTCATGGGCTCCAACACTCAAAGCAAGCGGATGACCAGCTGGTAGCAGCAGTTTCGACTCATGGAGTTTGTGGAGGGCTGATTTCCTCCCCTCGGACGTCTCGGCTTTGATGTGTTTCGTCACCTCGTCACGATCGCTCTTCGTAATGATATGCTCCAAAGACATCAGCGCCTCAGCACGTCCCAAAGGAGAGAGACAGCTCACCTGTTCATTTCCCGCGGCCCCAATCAGAAGTATCCCGTACTTTTTCACGAGTATCTCAATCAGGGAGCTGCACTCAAGAGACTGCTCGAGAGCGTTGAAGCCAAGCATTTTGTACATATTCTGCGACGCTTGGCCAAGTGATGCATTGATGATGGCCGACGGTCGAGGTTCGTGCTGTGAGTCATAGTGGGTTATGATCAGCTCAAGTGCTGTTTTGAGACCGTCCTTCTTCCCGGTTGCTCGATAGACTGCGACCACCCGGGCTTTCGGAGCAGCGCCCATTTGGGAGCCCGCAGCTACATTCGCGACCAAGGTTCCATGCATTTCTCTCGGATCTTCTCTCTGCTCTCCTCCTTTAGAGAAAGGGTCAGCGCCTCCAGCTGGAAGTCGTTCGTAGCGTGTCGTCTCAATCTGTGTGACATCAGGCTGTGTCTGATTGATCGGCGAAATATGTAACTTACGTCTAGGTACTCCGGTTTGAGGCTGAACTCGTTCTCCATTATGTAGATGATGACACCTTCGCCTAGACTTTGCGGAGCCTTGTAGGGATAAGTGCTTGTGACTTCCGCCTCGACAGAATCCCTAATTGTTTCATGCCCGCCAGCAGGCGGGGGAGGCTGTGGAGGTCTTTCGTTTGGATAGAATACGTAATGGTCCATTCGTTGTGAGATTCGCTCTGTCCCCCAGTGCTTCGAATGGACTGTGGTAGTCATCTCGTTTGACCTCGAGACTTTGGTCAATGTGGCAAGTACAATGATTCAGGATGATCTGGACAAATAACAGTCGAGGATTTTGACTGACAAGAGATGGGGGAGTGGGTGTGGCAGAAGGGATGAAATGATGTAGAGACCACCCTTGGTAATTAGACATATTAGATGTCGATTTGTGACGCTCATTCGGAGGGGTGCCACCCTTCTCAGGCCTTTCCTGAGGCTTCTAGTAGATCATTCTAGATCAGCTGGAGTTGTTCAGTTAACATCTATCTCTGGCTTGCATCAACACAGGAAAACGAGGTTTCTCATATCTCATTGGTTGCCGTATGGGTATGTGGCGCGGCATCTGTTACGCTCCGAGGGGCTTTCAGAGCCCAGACGTTGTGGTAGTGCTGCTTTGGGCAGCACTACATCTACCGGCGCTCGCCTAAAGCTGTTCGGACTTCTTGGTTGAAGTGTGGAAAACACTTGCACCCCCACAGCGAAAGTTCGGATGTGTATTCAAGTATCTGAATTCAACGCATGACCTAAGGCTTAAGCAATACAGATGTACTAATTTCTTCCAATCCTTGCTGCCTTGAACGCACTCCATCAAAGAAACGAAGGGTTCGTCAATTGAGTCTGCCAATTCTGGGTGATTTGAAAATTTGAGACTCACGATAGAAAGCCAAATGTGGGGCCAAAAGTTTCCAGGCCCACAATGATATAGAAAATCCAGCCATTTACACTACTTGTCAGTTGGATTTTGTATTTTGTTATCTGTTGTAGCTCTTACTGCCCAGCGTAATCATTGACTGGATTTTTCGGACTCTAATGACGGCAGCATCGTAAAGACAGCATAGCATAATGGGCGGTTGCAATGATGTGCCCTCATCACTGGTAATGACCGCTTCATGAAAGCCACGTCGCTGAATGATATTCATCGGAACAGTCGAGGGGCGAGAGCGACCGCTTGACATCAGAGAGCTCAGCTCAGTTTAAGCTTCTCGTCGAGGAAGACCACCCACTATCGGGGGTACTAGATCGCATATCAAGGAGGAGGGAAGCAGGGTGAAGCAAGTTCGTTGTAATGTATCGCTTATGTAAGCCGCCAATCTTTCGTCTCCAGATTTTCAATCTTTCCTCCTGCCTTTTCGTTTATCGCTTCAATGAGCCATTCGCAGCAATGAGGCTTGGAGACTATTCCTCAGCCCCTGCTAAGACACTGACTTCGAAGCCAGATACAAGTCTTGGTGTCGAGCGAAGAATTTCTCTCTCCGAAATAGAATTCGCGAGCGCGAGTGCCTCATGATCGGTTGCTAGGCACGGATTTTGGCATCTATCAAGCGTGGGTCTACCATGGAAACCCGAATCGGTCTCTTACCTACTACGTCGGTTGACAGTCGTAATTACAGACATGAGCAGTCCCATCTGCGTATTCTGCTCGTGCATGGAGAGACTGAGGCTCCAGGAAAAGACTGGGGGGTTGCACGCACGACACGTTTACCATAAACGTGTGGTGAAAGTTCTTATTTAGCCATTTGAGTGTCTCGATGGTCAAAGTCGATAGTGAGTTTGCTCCAGACATAGAACGTTTTCTCGATAGGTACTGTGCGAGAACGGTGTAGTTCAGGACCCGCTGATTGGGACCGAAATCTTAGGGCGGCCGAACGCGTACAACGAGGTCCGTACCGGCAGATTTGGAGATAGTCTGATGGGATGGGGTACTCCTTTCATCGTCATTATCACTGCCTGACGCCTTATTAGTGCGGTTACCTCTTGCTGTCTTGTCAGCCATGTCAGCCTATAGAAGGCTGCTGGTATCAAGCAACGCGAAAGCTTCCACTATTACATTGCTAAGCCTCGCAAATATCTCACTGGGTTGGAATTCGCAGATCCAATGCAACTAGCTTCCAAGATTGTCATGACAAAATTATGGGTTCGGAGATCATAGATAGTAAAGAGTAGCGACAGATAGATGTCGACGGCGGTTATTTATAACGGGAAGAAGGCAGGTCACTTCAACTTCATGGGGTTTCTGAACCTAAAGCTGGGTAAAGCAAAAGGGGTAGTATAGAGTTAAAACAAGTCTCGGAGATGAGCTGAATGTCGAGGTGAAATATCGCTGCTAAGCTAAAGCCATGGCTTGTAAATCAAGGGTTTGAGCGATGCTACGCTTAGTATTGAAGAAACACAAACACTCATCGGATTTAGGCGGGAAGAAGACTCACCATCATACAGCGCAGCCGCTAATGTCTATAGAAAGCCGTCTTCGTGGCCCGCGCCAGATTATGAGGGTAAGAGAAGGTCACTTGGCAGTAAATATTTTATGAACTGTTGTTCGCCAGGCTTTTCAGACATCCCCACCCTTCATATCTCCCAGCTTCGGGTCTGCTTCAAATATACGATCACATATGTGTACCACTTTTTCGAGAGCCGACCGCATCGTTGCTGTGGCGATATGATGTAGCGCTTCCCCTGAGTCGACGAAAGTGGATGGGAGGCGTAAGGTATTAAGGCGACAGGGTAAGGGTAATTGGCCGTCTAGGAGGTTTAGATTAAGGTAACACGCATTCATCTCAATTGTTGTAAGATCTTTACCTCACGTGCCTTTAACACTACGCTAATTAGTGTGTCTTCTATATGTTATTGTGCTCACGCGTATGCACAACACAAAAGACGTAACAAGGCATTGTTGTGTCAGTACGCTATGAGCTTAAAAAACCCATTGCCTTATTCCATTGAATACTGCTAAATCCATACTCAACCCTGCACCATTTGTGGTAGACCATCGAAAAAGCTAGGCATTCCCTCTCGATCAAGATGCCTTTCAATATCTGGAAAGCTGGACTTTTGTTGCTAAAAATAGTTTGCCTATTAGTCTGCTTTTGTATTACATACGTCGCCGTAGCCTTTCTTGTAGCCAGGTGCATCGCAGAATACTGCTGGTATTTCAGCATTATGGAAGACGCTCCACTTGAGGACTTTCGCTGTCGTAAAGCACCGTGGGAGGCGTTCTTCGTAACGTTGATCGTGGAAACTTCTATCTATCTGCTAAGTAAATTACTGTAAGTCACCACGTCGTCTCTAATACGCTGTCTGCTGAGATCCACCACAGTTTCCCTACCGTCAAGGAATCGACAAGCAATACCGATAGGCCACTTGTCGCCACAAACCATCTTCCAGCCCAGCTGGTAACAGGGGATAAGTCCTGCGCGATTATCAAGGTGGAGGTATCTCTTGAAGTTCAAAGCTTTGACAAGCAGAATGTGGCCCAACCTGAGATAGCGACACCCACAACATCTACGATGACGGTTGAATTGGCTAACAAACCCGTCGTTATTACTCTCACCTCACAAGACCGTGATACTGCCGGGAAACTCAAACTGAAATTGCTATAAGCGGTGGTTGGATCCCAGGACATGGTCATCAAATCAATGTCTTTGTCCAGGTGTCGGAAACAAGGCGTGGTTTGGAGAAGCTAAGAACTCGGAAAACTTTTCCATTGCAAGGATATTGTTTAGCGGATTAGTATGCAACTCGTAGGGCAAGAGTATGCAAGAGATTGTAAGTTAGAAGAAGGGAAGGGACAAACAGAGAGGACTTATGCATTTCATTTGAAATGGATGTAGCATTTGAGACTTTCGCTACTACATTCTATTATCGGGTGCGGTCAGAATGGAAGTAAATGTTGAATTTAACACGTAAGCAAAATAGTCATTAAGCTCAATGCTTATTGAGAAAAGGATTTCCATTACCTCGTAGTAACGTACGCGCACACTTGCGTTCATAGAACTTCGCTATGGCCACTCCAGCACCTGTGAATAGAGTGATTGCTTGGTTCTCGATGTGACTGACCCTCTCGCGTCTAGTAGAATTGTGTGATATATTTCATGTCCTAACACGCCTCTTAATAGATGGACCCATCTTTCAGCCACCAACTCGGTCCCCATCTCGCAAGCCTTCTGGTCCCGTCCGATGGTCTCTACAGCGATTTTCGGGAAAATTGAAGCTGACGTCATCCTTTCGACGGCCTCGAGGCTTCCAGCCCGTCAGCCAGTCCATCGACCTTGTCTTGAGGTTCACAGGGCGATGGCAGCATTTGTCGGACCGCTTGAAAAAAAGCAGCAAAGTTGAATGTGCTTAGAGACAAGACCTCCGTCGAAGATGCCAGCCCGCCTAGAATGAGATATTGCCTCAGATGGCCTGGATAACAATCGGACCACTGTAGGTGCCTAGCCCTGCGGCGTCTTGGGCGCTCGAGTATGACGGTCTGGATCTCAGCTATGAGAGAGAATCGCAGCGAACAAAGAGCGTGAATGGTCTTTGACGCCAAGAACACCGGCATGAAAGATTGTAAACGTTGGCCGGCTTCCATCCTTCTCGAGCAAGTCATTACCCACGATGTACCCCAGCGCCTTGCACTTCCATTCCGTTCGGCCTTCGTCTTCAGACTTGAGCCTAGGCTTGGCATCATTTCTTGGCTGACGCAATTGAAAGCGGAAATAATTCCGTCACCCCGTCCTGCTCTTTGCGCCTGCTGAACAACATGAGCGACTGATTGGCGGACCACATGGGCTTGTGAGGCTACTTGCATCCTCATTCGTAATGGACAGATTCTCATCATGGGCTCTTGCTAAAGATTCCTCCACAGCTGCCGGACTCTCCATCTACAATGGACAGATCGCCATCCCGGGACACTGAGGTTGAGCTGTGAATTCTGTTCCTATTGGCATGTCGCCATCCTCCGCTGACTTCTTGCAGGCCATATAGCTCTCCGCCTTTTGAGTTCGTTGTCGAGAATGAAGCTTTCTTCTTGCACCAGACACTTGTCGCTCAGACGTCAGCCCCCCTCAATGCCCTCATTAATATCGATATGAAAGAGAAGGACGAAGGACAAGCAGCCTTACCTGGTGTCGAGGCAGCTACCTTCAGAAGATTCTGTCAATGGGCATATACTGGCTCTTACGACTGCCCCGCGCCCTGTCCTGTCAGCAAGAAGAAGGAAGGCGATGCCAGTAACGCGTCCATAGTCGCCCAAGAAGCCGCGAGCGTAGATGGAGAATCTGAATCAAGGGATCAATCCTTGAGAAAAGCCTCTGGGAAATCTGAGAAGAAGAAACCAAAGAATACGCGATGGACCCCCAGCGGTCTCTCCAGGTCCAGCCTCCACGAAAGATTCCTGCGCTACTGGGAAAGCCGCGAACCCCAAACAGTGCCGCAGAAGAAGCCAAACGTCGAATGCGACTACACGGAAGTCTTCCTCGCCCACGCAAAGCTCTACGTCTTCGCAGAGGAGAAGGATGTGCCAAGGCTCAAGACTCGGGCGCTGAAAGGCTTGCATACCAACCTTTGCGAATTCCATCTCCAGCGCTCTCGAGTCGGGGACTTTGTGTCTCTCCTAAGATATGCATATGAGAACACGGCGCAATTGCGACCGGAGAAGCCGGACGACCTACGCCAGCTCCTGGCTGAGTATATGAGCTGGCAGATGGAGATCTTGATGAAGAATGAGGAGTTTAGAAGTCTGGCTTTTACGGTGAAGAAGGATGGGAATGAATTCCTGGATGACTTCATGGCTATGGTTATGAAAAGGCTCTACAAGGCAGATATTTCGTCCTATTGACGAGAAGATGGATATCCATGTTGGCAATGGCATGAGGGTTGACGTTTGACGCTGCTTCTGTTGCCTAAGCAATTGACGGAATGAGTTGGGATTTCGAGCTCTTCTTCCCCAGCCAAGGACAGCTCAATCTATTTTCCGGTCTTCGCAAGAATCATAGTCAACGTACACCCTCATACTGAAAGCTAATTCTTCTCTTCCCTCGCTTTGAGACTACCCAACGATTTTGCAAGACAGTCCCACGAAATATCCTCCAACAACGTCGATGCGCACGCCCTGAGAATAGAGTATGACAATGACGGCCACTCGTGTTGACATCACACGCATCCCAATCCTTACATTTCTGAAGACGCCAGTTTCATTTGGGAAACTCCCCACGCTCCAACCACAGTCGTCTGTTCTGATTTCTAAAAGCACGATTTGGCTGTGATGTTGGGTCTTTGACGTCAATTCACATTGTTGAGGAATGCGACTCAGCTAGGAAGAGTGAAAAGACGAGCCTGCTAACGATGGTGTGAGAGTGAAAGTGCGCTGTGATGCATAGATGTCAGTGTGATCACTGACGAATACTTTTCCTAGGTGTGCTTCGTTGGAACTTATCGTGAGTCTTAAATCGCTATTCTCCTCCCCCCCCATTTTCTGCTTCACTCTGCTTCATACACTGGAAGAAGATCGCCGGCGTACAAGCTAGACCTAGATCGGTGAACCTCTAGACCCAATCTTCACTAAATGAGGATTCATACACGTTGCAGTGGCTGAGAAGTAGCAGTAGTGCGTTAGACTCGTCATTCACAGTCCATGCCCAGGCTCTTTTTATGTAGCGTGCAACAGATATTCAATTCTAAGCCTTGCTTTCCCCGCAGCTCTTTCGGCCTCGCAAGAAGAAGTGAAGACTTCACTGCAAATTCTCCCATTCTTCTCATCATTATACGCACCAGGCCCTGAACTTCTTGCTATTTCTGCTTATCATTCAGATTTGGAAATAATCCTTTTCAAGCTCAACCCAAATATGACCAACTAGAACACGTGATGCAAAGCTGTGTCTCTTTGTGCCCTCATTTTGGGCTTAGGGATGAACGAGGGGATTCACTAAGCAAGTGACTTCTGGGGTGGCAAAAGACAAAAACTTTGGCTAACCTCACAATCCTCTCTTCGCGTCAACTCTCATCAGTCTCCAGTTCGACTACCACAGTCTTGCAATCTTTTTGATAAGCTCAAGATATCATCATCCCAACTCAAGAAATTATCATTCCAGCCATCTCCAGTGAAAACCAGGCCAGTCTCACCATGAAAATGACAACTGAACAACGCATCACTTGCAACAATACCGTTTGCGCCCTGCGTGAGTTACTCCAGGCTTCCAAGGCCTGCAGACTCTGCGTGATCAGGACACACGAATGGAAAGACGCCATCCTCACAGGTGCTCGCGAACAGCCTCAAGTAATGCAACCAATTCTAAACGACGCATTACGGGCCTCCGCAGAGGCCAAAGCACAGGAACGAGCAGCCAAACAAGCCAGACGGGAAGCAACTGTGGCGAAAAATAAAGCAAAGCGAAACGAAATGCTACCATGCCCTTTCACTAAAAGGAAGGCAGCTGCTATTGAAGGAATCGAACGGCCTCAGATAGTCAAGCATACGCGAGTGAGCAACATCATGTCAACTGAGAAAACTGAAAAAGAAACACCAAAGAATTTAACGGAACAGCATCAGAGCTTGAAGGAAAAAGAAGAGGCCTTATTGATTGGCTACGAGAGCAGCGATTCTCTAGAGCCCGCTGACTGCGGCTTCAATGAGGCTTCAAGCCCGCGAAATCATCACCCTGAATATTCTGCGAATGCGAGCTTCGACCACAACGTTAAAGCACAGAATATGGAGGATGACAACGAATCTGACAATGGCGAAGGGCATCCGCCGTCTGGATATACCGACAACCCGTGTTCGCAATTCATACTAGTCCGTCATTTGACAGAAGCACAGCACGTTGAACTCGGACTCCTTCGAAATGACCCCACGATCGTAGCAGTCACCTCGACAGCATGGCGAAAACTGCACAACGCCCCAGCCCAACAAATGCCCCTTGACAAAGTGTTCCAACTCTGCAGAGCACTAATGTCGCAGCGAAAAGGCTCCGCAGTACTTACCTACCTCTCCGAGCGCGTCGCCCTCCTCAAGTATTCCCGCCCCAATCCCAATATGCCAGCGACATGGACCATGTCCAACCTCATCGATATAGTCGAAGCACTCGATCACATCGAGGCAGACGAAGACGATCTCAAGCTGCACAAAGCCTTTGCGCAGATCAAACTCCATGATGCCGTGAAAGAGGACGGTTCGCTCATTGGCAAGACGGCGGAGCTGAAATATCCGCTTTCGAAGCAGAAGGCGAGGAGGGCTGGGGAGAGATATGAGCGCGCTTGTCGGGCGGGAGTGAGATGGAAGAAGGTCGTTGAGGCTTTTGGGGGGCCGGGGGTTGTGATTGTGTTTTTTACTGCAGGTATGCCCCCAGGTATCCACTAGATATATGCCCTGGTGAATTTTTTCTTTTGATGTGTGTGTGGCTGACTTCGGCTCGTTGCAGGTATTCCGACTTTCCATATCACCTCTAAGTTTACGGAGTTTGAGCTGCAGTTCTTGATGAGCCTTGCGGGTAAATTGCCGGCGATTAAGAAGGTTGTGGATATTCTGGGGCCAGATGCGTTGGAGGACTACTGTCGACGTGGAAACCTGTCAGCTGAAGTCATTCAGGACTTGGCTGCGCTACAGACCAGCGATCTTGGGGACGAGGAGTAAGCTTTTGGTGGGACTGGAGACATCTCGGAAGATGCGTGGCGAGCTATCGTGAATTCGGGGATGAGTTCGGCGGGGGGCATATATTGCAGCCGTAAAACAATCGAAAAAGTGTCGTGGGCATAGAGACAGATCTGAAATGATGGATGATATACTATACAAGCATACTTATGGAGGTTCGAGAGGTTGGCAGCTTGTACTTAGCAAGTATCAAGGGTGCGTGGTGAGGACATTGGTATTCTGTTGGTCAGATCAATGGTCATCATACCAATGTGTCTCAAAAGCGGGACATTGAAGGGCAAGGCAGATTTCGTGCGATAACAAGTCTCAAACATACAGCGTGGGGGCACCAAGTCTCTCCAAATCAGGCAAAGGGAAAATACTCAGCAAGCTTAGCACAAAATCCAAAGTAGCATCGGTTTCAAGCAGTCCAGAGTGTATACTACGGCTGCGTCAGCGTAAGACTTCTCCTGAGCTACTGACAGTCCAGTCTGAGCTTCAAACCGAGACCGTTGAAATCTGTGGCCATTTGATACATTTCAATCCTCTTGAAACGTGGAAGCTATGTTAAGAAGCCTTTAGGTCGGCGCCAACCCTTTTCTTAACAGTAATTCAGTGACGATCAACTTCGCTTACGGACAATGCCCTGATAGAATAGCTCCTCGCTTCTACAAAAGCAGGATAATCAGCCTCTCCTCACATTTGAGCTACCAGACCGATGGCAGGTCTGGACTGACTCCGAGGCGCCTCCCTCTCATCCGATAACGGTCGTCTAGTAAAGGGAAGCACCACTCGCAAAGTCCACTGTAGCGATGTGATGAAGACCTGCAAGACTTCGAAGCAAGCAGCGACCGAAAGCTGAAATCGCGTAGGGTATTAAAAGCAGAAGATATCGAGCAATAGCAAGGGGATGTCCGGTAGGACGGTAAGTGTGGATAAGCCATGAGACGAGATTGGCCTCTAGGTGCGGCTGACACGATGACTTTTCTGCTCTAGTGTGGGATGAAGCACGAATCGCGAGATCGGTTCGACATATCATATTCACAGACCTGCAACCTACCATCCCCAACAAGCTATTCGTGGTACACATCATGAGCATTGAGTACGGGGACCACAATCTTCTCAGGCTATGCCCATTTTTGAGGCTCTTGAGGGAGATCTGAGACAGTACTGCCCCATTGCCGCTCACTGGCGTCGTTGGGTTGATTGCATGCAGTATTCTTCTTAATGTTATCAATGCAGTGCTTCAGTGCCTCAAGTTGCCATCCTTTTGCAAGGTAAAGGCCAGTCTCTGTAGCATAGGTTCGAGCTTTCAGCACCGGCTTGCTCTTTCTGGGCATCACGTCTGCAGGGTAGCATTTTCAATTTGATTTTTAACTTGTATCCATCATTGACAACATATTGAGAGGCTGATTCAGAGTGGCTTGAGCTCGTTTTTTACTTGGGGATTCTGACGCATTTCTATTGGAGGCGCTCGTGACATTCGTGGGATGCAGCGCTCCGTGAAGACACAAAGGTATTCTTGGTGGTGGATGACTCAGTCGAGACAGGCCACGCCACCTCTGCACTTCCTTTTCCCCGACTTCTGGCGCAAGCGAGACAGGGGAGCAGGCTTGTGAGGGGATATCAGTTTTTGCATCGGCTCGGACTGTGATGCTGAGCCTCCAGCTCTAGCCGAGGATTCGTTGAGCTTGTTCCGCTTATTCGGCCGGTTGATGCTGAGGGACATCTCAGCAAAAGCTTTAGTGGACGAGGCCTGCGGTCTCATGCCATGACTTCGATTGTGTCTGATTCTCCTCTTGCCACCCTTGCTTATCGACGTCTTCTATCCATATCTTGTTAGCGTATTGCGAGAAGGTTATAGCATTGTCAAGGGGAGGTTGTGTGAGCGTAGCGATGCTTGGGCATTGATGGTCGTCAAGGAGAACGAGATTGTGATTGATGCCCCGCAAAGAAGATGATCGGATCGGAGAAACAAAATTCCGACGGCTTTCACCTCAGTCGCGGCTCTGGGCTGCTTTGGATGTGTTGTTACTGCCAACAATTGCCACCAGTCATTGTTCACGATAACAGCGCCCGATGGACTGACGCTCGATGGTCCAGGTTGTCCTTCTCACTAGTTTGAGAGCCTCCTCCACACCTTCGACCTCGAATCTCCATACTGCTACAACAACCCTCGCAGGCGCGAAAACCCTTCCCTCCCTCTCCACCTCCCTCACGATCCCACAAATCCACATCTCGGCTTCATTGCGTATGGGGATCTAACGAGAACGATTTCGACAGATGCGAGAGCTATGAGCGGGAGATGGGCAAGCTCCCGCCCCCCTCCCCGGCCAAATACGCTGGCAATGAAATAGCGCGACGAGTACGAAGAAGAATATTTCCATCAAATAAGGGGCTTGGATAGATAGGATTCGGGCTCCACACATTGAGCTCTATGTGTGACGGGCGGGCGACCGCCAGGGCACGGTCGGCAATGGAACGAAGAACCTCTAAAGATGCGCACCAAGGCCATAAAGCGTGGAGGAGCTGCCATCGAGATGTAATCTGAGCAGAGGTCATACGGTATGAGCTGCACCAAGAAATAAAAACACGAGAGACATACTCATGGTGTGTAATGGGCTGGGGCATGCTTTCACAAGAGCTAGGAGTTCACACCTGATATCATTTGGCCAGCAACTTACCGTGGCAAGACGAAAAATACACCTGGTAATACATCAGGCTCTCAAAAACAAATGCTTTCGCCGACGCTCGTGGTTTCTTGATTCTGCACTTGAACCACAACTCGAAGACTTTGCTTGCATTACCCTGGAATTCACCGGTAACGACCTGGTGGAGGGGACGCGGAACATGGAAGACAGATGCCGCGACCTGCTCAGTGGCCTTCCCGGCCCGCCTCAACCTATCCTCAGCCATTTTCTGCAGACTTTGCTTTGCGCCAGCCGGGTACGAGACACGACACAGCCTATCACATCTGCCAGGGCTTCATTTCTCCCTTGGACCCATGCTGCCCAGCATCTTGGCCATATCTACTGCAATCACTCTGCTGTACACCGACGAGGACTCACAGCATGGAGTCATACATCCTCGCCCCTCTCTGATCAGTCTAGTCGAGACTTTTATCGTCAGCACCGGACGTAGCATTGGATATGAAGCACAGAAAGTGAAGAGAGCGAATATGCTCTAGAGATATTCAGCATAAAGTTGATCTTTATAGTGGGAGGGTGACAATGTCGTATGGAAAGTCTCACAGTCTTGGCGTTGATGGTGGACTACAAACCAACGGGAGTAATACAATGAGCAGGACTTACAGATTGTCAGCCTCGCTCATCAATCCGTATCAATTTAATCAATACAAATTAGGCGCTCTGTCTCCTTAAAATATATTCCCACAAAAGATGTCGTTTTTATTTTCTCTCTTCGGAGCAATTTCGTATTTTGAGAACACAGCCTGGCTGGGCCATGAGCAGCATTGCTCGCCTTGGAAGCTCCAATGAAATGTTGCATTCTGCTGGCCTCACAGAGTCCTCCAATCAAACATCGCCGTTCTCATCGGCTCTATGATACAGACTGCATGGTTTGCTGGTCGATATTACCTGGTGTCGCAATCACCAAGCCTCATGTAGGAGGAAGAGGGCGGTGTTGCCCTGCATTGGGGGAGTGGCGGATCCAGTTGGCCTCCTTCATCCTGCCATATCTCGATATCCGGGTCAACTCCCTAACTTGCCATTCTGCTGAACGGCCGCATCGCTCGCTCTGGTCGTCGATGCTGGGGCTTCGGCTGTCGCAAGGGAACGGTTCTTCGCCTTTCTTATCTTACCGCACTGGAAAATGCGATTCACTGTCTGCATAACTTCGAAGTAACGATGGGTGCAGCGTTGATGACAGATTACCTCACGGTAAAGGCGGCTCTTGTAGACGCTGAGCAGAAAGCTGCGGCATTCGAAACGCTTTCCGATACTTCCGGCACAGAGTCCTTCTTGCTCGGAGATCATATGCCCGGTGCTACCCTTGATATGTCATTATACTTGCAGTACAAGCACCTGAGAGAGTGTCTGTATCCTCAAACTAGAGCACGAAGCCCACTGCCTACGACGTTGACTTCGTTGGAGCAAAAACCCGTTGGCCTCTGCAATATCCGTACCAGACCAGAAAAGGTGGCGTTAACAAGCCAGATAGCAAGCTTAAACTTTGCCTCAGATAGCATAGTCACCAACATACATACTGATGTGAATAAGTCGCGGGCATACCCAAGGGGTATAGCCTGCGAGAATACGAGCGGGTTCCCACGTGCACCAATCGCAGCGCTCAGGGAGACTGTAGGTTCCACTGATGAGAGTAGTGCAGATCCGGCGGCGACAACCATGCAGACAATTGCGGGACGTAAAGGGGCCGGAATACCCACCGCAGCTCCGCGTGCTCCCACTACATCAGCTGCGAGAACCTCCGGGGTTGGAGCCGCCAGGCAGGGCACGATAACAATGACAGCTGCAAATCCAGGCAAGATAGAGACAGGCGTGGCAGCAAGTACAGCGAGATGGCACGCCTCGCCTGCTACGAAGACTACTTGAAGGACGGATTGAGTGTAGTTGCAGGATCAGGCATCGCACTCTCGAGACGGATGGTCAGATATACCACGGCGAAGTGCAACCGCAGTGGCTCCCTAAGGTCGGCTTTACTGTGAGCAGTATCCAGTCGTGATTGCTCTACAGGGTCAGATTCACCTCACCATACGCGAAAGGCAGTGATCTCGCTATTCAACTAGACTTGCAAGGACAGGAGAATCATGGCTGTGCGACCACCATTTGATTGTTATGCAATTATTGTATACAAGCATATACGTGTCTCAATTTATGAGTTCAGGAAAAGAATGCACCTCCCAGAAATCACCGCAGTACGCTAAACGTCCCGTGCGAGGTTCTTCTTGCATTGTTAAATGATATCTTATCTCTATCCGAATCCGTCCAACTGTGTACATAAATCCAGAGATTTTAATCCCTATCAGCTAATGCTAAACGCGAGTCTGCTGCGCACCGAGACGCAATATTAAGTCATTAGGAACAATGGTGCGATTCCCACAATCTTACACCATGGTCGTGTCTGGCATTAATTAGTATTACCAGATCAACTGCCTTGGCGACCGCCTACCTCCCCCCCTCCCTCCCACGCGAAAGAGAATTCCTTTTCCAGACGCCCGTCCGTTCCCTCAGCCGCCGGCCGCTTGCTCTATCAAAAACAACACTCCTATCGCACCTGCCCCGACAACAGCAATCCCAGCGTTCTCGCACATGCCATAGTACTTCCATATCCTTGCCAACGCACTGCCTTCGTCGCCGCCAGTGTCTCTCCCGCCTCCGCTTTCTCCTGAATACCAAAATTTCCTATCTGCTGTAGACGGCCCGGCCACTAGTATCACACATCATTCCTTCTTTCACTCTTCTAAGCTTAGTCATGTGGTCGAGGACCCCTCCCCGTCCCCACCAACTTTCTGCATGTTTGTACTAATGCTCTGGTGACCAACGAAGGCCAGCCTCTCCCTGGAGTGAGGAATCGTCCAACCCGCATTGTATTCCAGTATTCCTAGAGGCCCAAAAGTGCTCAGAAAAAAAAAAGTCTCTAGAGACTTTTTTTTTCGATTAAAAAAGGGATACCTTACTAAACCTCGTTTACAGTATCTTTTCACTCTCTCGGTTTCTGGAATGTAGGCCTTCTCTGCCGTCGCGGCGGAAAATGTGGGCTCTTCTTGGGAAAGGGGGAGGGGTGAGGGTGGCGAGGGTGTTGTTCTTAGTGAATGAGGAAGGATGCGCTTAATTCGTTGTGATCCTTGCCAAATGAGTCTGACGCATCTGATTCGTAGGAGAAAGGTGGGAGCCTGCAAGAGTGGCGAAGAGGATGTACTTAAGAGACTGAGGAGGGGATGTTGAGTTAAGGATAGGGATCGTCGGATCTTTTTGCAAGGCGAGACAGCGTCGAGAAAGAACCTTCTCGATAGTAGGAGGATTTCGGTTCGTGGGTGCTGGCTTTGGCCTCGGCGTGTTCGAACGCTGCTGGGGAATTATGGATGCTTTACTGCTAGGAGGGCCGCTTTGAGCGAGGATCTGAAGGATTTGAAATAGGTGCAGTTTGCGGATGGGAAAAGTAACAGTCTAAGTCGGTGCAGAGATAGACACCATGAATTTCTCATTAACGCCAAAGTACAATCTAGTTGTCGCAGGATGATCGGCGTGGAAGTGAGTGAAGAGGGTGTATTCTGCTGTATGGAGGCTTCAAGCTCCTTCTCCTCTATCTCTTTCGGAGTATCAGGATTCGCACGCGGCAGGACTTGCGCACTACCTACTTGTCTATGCTCCTCCTGATGTTGCAGCCGTCGGTGAGCTCATTGCATTGCTCATCTCGGTCATTCTGGATGTTTGCGGTATTGGTACAGCTCATGGCTCGTGGCTAAGAATTCTTCGAGTGCAATGTTTGAATTGCTGGCAGTGGGGCCTTCGATGCAACTGCATGAGGGGACGAATGGCATGACGACTTCAGATTGTATGGATGAAGGGTCGTTAGGAAGGGAAGGCTGAAGACGGCGTAAGAGTCTTGGAATACTTGTATGATCTTGAAGATGTGCGCCTAGGTTTGTTGAATGAGGGCAAATGGGAGCATGTTTGTTCGATAAAAGGGGGTTTCCTGCCCATGAGAATTAATTCTTTTGTTACTTGTATTATTGAGACATTTCTTTGAGTAAGTCGTAGTGTCTAGTGTTCTTGTTGCTTATATAGTTGTACTTTTAAACATCTGGATGTTTTGTTCAAACTAAATAAGGTACTTGTATAAGAATAATTTTATTTATCTTTATCTATCTTTCTCCTCTACTATGTCTCGCTTCGTTCTCTTTAGCTTTCCTTATGTTACGTTGTAGATAATACTAATTTAGGAAAAAAATACTTACTTTAAAATACTAAACTTGTAGTTTAATTTAAATATCTTAGACTTGGCTTTAAATTCTTAATATAGATAAAGTCGGCTTTCTCTCCACTTAAGACTATAGTTCTAGCTAACTTCATATCTTAATTTTGAAACATTTAAGATTTAAGGTATACGTTTACAGTAAACCTACTAAACCTAATAAACGGTACATTTTCCTTTCCTCTCCTCTCTACTACCTTTATCTTCGCTGACCTTCAATCCTTGCAACACGGTCAATACCCTACAACGCTAAATCACGCCGGTCGCAATCATTCTCGTGAGCCTCAGCACATTCCATCAAAACTAGGCTTACAGTTCCCTGCGAATCCTTCCTTTTGACTATCAAAGCGGTCTAGTATGAGTCCACGGCTTGTCGTGCTTTGCTCGAATTGCAACTGCAGCGCAGTCTAGATATGCAGTACAACTCATTACTACAAGAGAGAAGATTCACCGGAAAGCTACGCGGTTACTCCTCGGGCCTCGTTGTGGGGAGTCTAAAAGCCCAAGACATGCATCAAAGAGAAGCGTGGCAATGTATGTCTTGAGCTGTCCGCCTCCTCGCTCACTGAGGCTTCTAGACCAGGCTGTTTTCTCAGTGGGAACCGCCTGAAACCTAAGTTTTGCGCCTCGTGAACTACAATATTCGCACCTTCCAATCGATCCTAAGTACTTATCTGATCACGGGTCTTCACATGGGATTTGGCTAACGCTTTTCTCTCTCTCTCGGCTGCAAATAAAGACGAAGAAGCTCGATTAGCGCGGATTTAATCGATGGCAGGTAGAGTCAAAGAGTACAAAGGAGACATAGAGGAAGTGCAGAATAGTAATGTTAAAGAGATCTTGACATCATCGATGTCTGGGTGAAGAAATGCAAATGCATTCCGAACGATGTGAAGACAAGAATTCAAGACGGCCAGGGGAGTATATAAGTATTAGACTAGAGAGAAGTATAGTGGGGGGTTTAGCAACAATAGAAGGGTTGTTGAGCATCAGGCGTGATCGTGGAAAGCTCCTTGCCTAGATATCTAATCAGAAGCTATCCGTTTGGAAAGCCGGGGTTAGAGAGATGCGCGGGCACTGAATTGTGGGGATGAAAGGGCGGAGGCGAGAGTGAAGTCTTCGATAAGTAGGTTTGGGCTGGGTAGAGAAACTGTGGAGGTCGTGCAGAAGGGGTAAGAGAGACGTGGATAGGGATGTTAGTGTGATGTTGTTAATAAATCAACGCGTAAAAGTCTTGAGGCTATAAGACTGACGACTTTCTAGAAGTGATAGGGAATTATCTAGTCTGTCTAGCGGTTGTATATCGTTAAGCCATTGCATGTCGTGGGCTTTGCGAATTCAGCTGCAAATTGCAACAGAACGGATGGTGATCTCGCAATGCGCATTTTCTGTGGGTTCAATCTATGAAGGAAGCAGGTGTGGTTGCTCCAGGCTTCAACGTGGTCAAAATTCCCTAGCTCATTGATTGTCCATCTTTCGTTGATCCTGGTGGGCTGCCATTTGCAGCTCAGGGTGAAAATGGGTCCCAATGGAGTCACGATAATGCAGAAGTATTCCAATGCAACGCTTCCTTCACAAAGGCGCTTGATTGCTCGTGAGAACATCCTGCTTCGTATTAGGTTAGGGATGTCAGATGACTCTCCACTGATGGGAACTGCCATGATAGAGACAAAACCTCAAAGTAAATAGCGGAGACTATTCAGGGTTCCTTCACACATGTGATTCTATTCGCAAAGCGGACGAATAAGACACGGGGCGTATATAGTGCTTAGCAAACATACATCCAACCAAAGTCACAAGTAGGTTCTATGCTGAACGAACGTGGCATCGCCTGGCGAGACTGCGCCCCATCAATGTAATTTTGGAATGCTACCGAATAGAAAGCAGAACGACAAGTATTTTGCGTTGAATAGTAAAGCAACACAATTGGAAAACTCACAAATCTGCTAGAGTTTTATGCCTGGTATGTTGAGCACCGTTCTGCGGCAGTGCGCAGACTGCGTAAAGCTGAAGAGAAAGTATTCTGGGACACTTCGCAACTGTGTTATTTCGTCCTCATCGCGTCCGATTTAGGTATACCACTGGCCGAAGAATGCGGCAAGATATAGAGAACTGAAGTGGAACGCAACAATGCTATCCGCACAAATGGCAGCGCATGTCTCCTTTTTCCAGCGTTGGTCATTTTCATGTAGCTACTTCGAATTCCCGTTCCGATATTTTAGTCGTGATTGAGAGCTTAAGACAATGAGTCATGGTATCAGAGACTAGGACTTGTGCGATTAATAAGTATATTCAATGAAATTGAAAGCCGAACAGGTATGGTGGAGGTCTTGCCATACCAGCGCCGAGCAATGGAGGAAGTCCAAATGGAACGACTCTGCACGCAGGTCTCGAGATCGACAAATGCCATGAGCTCAGGATTTATCTATCTCTTCACCTGAGCAGCACAGGAAGAGCCCCGCGCAAGCCCCAACTTAACTTCCCGGACGTATATCTTGACCAGTGTTGGCAACGGTTAACCGATTGTTAAGGAACTATTAGTTATAATTGTTAGTTTTAGGTCTCTTACTAGTCGGTTTAGACTTTAAGCTTTTAATAGTTAGTTTGGTTTTTAATT